CAACAACAACAACAACAACAACAACAACAACAACAACAACAACAACAACAACAACAACAACAACAACAACAACAACAACAACAACAACAACAACAGCCGGGTCCCGGTCTCGGCCCGTTCGTTCACGACATGCCCACCGAGAGCCAGCTGCGAGCCCAAGTCATCCGCCACCGCCGACAAATGGCGCCCCGCGTCGACAGGAGACGGCGCGCCGCCGCCCGCCAGGCCCTGCACGAGCGATGGCGACGGAGGCACTTCTACCTCGACGAGGAGGAGGGCGGCACGGCGCCCGATGGGTGGGACGAGAGCGAAGACGTGCTCGCCAGCCTCCCCGGCGTGCCCGACCGCTCCTCTTCCGCCCCCCACGCCAAGGCGCCCCAGCACCACCACCACCCGCCCTTCTTCCCACGGTCCCGGTCGTCCTCCAAGGTCCGCTTCGCCGAGGACATGGACGACAACATGGACGTGCGCTCCAACCCGTCGACCTCGTCGCGCAGCGTGCCGGAGCGGTGGGGCGGCTTCGAGATCCCGGAGGAGGAGCGCGACGCCGGCAAGGAGATCCTCTACCAGATCACCCAGCAGGCCTTCAACGAGCTGCTCGACGTTGTCTTCAGGGAGAAGGAGGACCTCGCCGTCCGCGCCGCCGAGACGAAGGAGCAGCGCGAACTGCACCGCGAGGTGTTGGATAATTTTGACATTGACCTCCACCTCGAGAACGCGGAGGAGGAGGAGGAGGAGGAGGAGGAAGAGAAGGATGCCACGGCGGAGAGTCGACGCGGGGAGGAGGCGGATCCGGAGGCTGTTTCGCTCCTTGATAATAACGGCAGCAGTAGACCCGTGAGCGAGCGGACATTGGAGGAGCTGTTGGACGTTACGGGCTTCACGGTTGCGGGTGGAACTTTCGCGGAACAGTCTGGGCCCGCCGACGAGGTCCGGGGGGGTTCCGAGGGCAGGAACGAGGACACATTTCAAGAGGTGGCAGAAAGGCCAGAGGCAGGGGAGGAAGAGGAAGAAGGAGAAGGAGAAGGAGAAGGAGAAGGAGAAGGAGAAGGAGAAGGAGAAGGAGAAGGAGAAGGAGAAGAACGAGGAGGAGGAGGAGAACAAAAAGAAGAAAAAGAAGAAGAAGGCTATCGCGATCCCACCATGCCCCAGTTCCGTCCGAACAACGACAGCGACCTCACAAGAACCCCCCCTGCCGCGAAACCGGCCCCCGGGAAGACGTTTTCGGCCGAGCCACAGGTCGCCGACGACGGCGAAGAAGAGCAAGAGCAAGAGCAAGAACCGCCCGCCAAGTCCAAGACGGCCGTCTCCGTCTCCGTGCGGGTGCTGGCGGAATGGAAGCGGCTCGATCAAGCGGAGAAGGAGGCCGAGGAACGCGGCGGGTGGGGGAAGCTCAGCTATGAAGAGTTCGAGGCCATTTACAGACGGCATGAGAACCCCAAGCCGGCCGGCAACCGGTTGGATTACCTGGGTAGCTGGGTCGATTTCTGCATTCCCTAGTGAGATGATGGGATGGGGGGTTATATCTATACTAATACTCACACACACACATGCAGAGGGTGGCGAGAATAGCCGTCTTGTAGTCTTACTGTAACGATAAATGTCCGTACATTAGTTTCCTTTCGGTCTACTCTCTTCATTATTGTCTTCCCGTAGAGAACTTTACATGATTACTCCGTGCAGATTCCTTTTCACTCCTCACTCGTAAGCTCTTTTGGCCATTTAGCATACTCCCTATCATCTTGACCACAACCCCCCTTTTCCCTCTCTCTCTCTCCCCATCTCCGTCTCTCAACCCAGACAACTCCCCTTGCTCCAATGACTCGCCGCCCGGATCCTCTTCCCATAAGCGTAAAAAACAAACGGCACAGGGATCAGTAGACAGGCAAAGCCGCCAAAGATACTCGCCCCGGGCCCCACACCAAGGTTGTTATACAGCGGCCCGACCGCCAGGGGGAAAGCAGCAGCGAAGCAACTCCTTAGGAACGTATTCGCCGCCACAGCGCTAGCAGCATACAAGTGGAACGTGTCAACAAGGTAATTCAGCCCCGCCTGGAAAACGGTGTTGAAGCCGCACCCGGACAGGTACAGGCCAATGACGGGGACGATCCAGGGCGCGGCCTCGGGCTCGGCGGTCCACCCCATCATGAACTGCCCGCCGGCAAGGAGGACGGACCCGAGCATCATGGGCGGGAGGCGACGCTCGGGGAGGACGCGTTCCCCGCGGGCCTTGAGGGCGCGGTTGTAGCCGACCTGGTTCACGGCGTTGATGCCCAGGCCGGTGACGGCGCCGAGGAACTGGGCGAGGAAGGGGAGCGAGCCGCGGACGCCCAAACCCCAGCCGCGGCGCTGGGCGAAGATGATGGGCACGGCGCCCAGCTGCATGTACATGACGCCGTAGGTGAAGCTCGTGTACAGGGCGATGAGGGCGCAGATGGGCGTCGCGAGGAGCTGCAGCGGGCGGATCAGGAACTTGCGCGCCAGCTCGGCGGGCGTGACGTCCCATTCCTCGAAGCGCGCGTGCAGGGCCCAGTTCCCCGTGGTGATGCGCAGCTGCCGCGCTTTGCGGACCAGGAGGCTCGGCGGGTAGGTCTCGTCCACGAGCAGGACGGTCACCGCCAGCACGAACGCCTGTAGGATCCCCGTGATGTATTCCGTCCATCGCCAGCCCAGGGACGGGTCTTGCGCCACGGCCGACGAGGCGATGGGTCCCAACGTCGGCCCGCCTACCACGGCCAGGGCGTACCCTGCCATGGCGTAGCCCCGATGGGCGGGCGTATAGAGGTCGCCCAGGACGCCGCCCGTGTTGGTGACGGGGGCCGAGGAGAAGACGGCGCCGAAGAACCGCGTGAGGAGGATGGTCTGTAGGTCTTTCGCCGTGGCCGTGGCAAAGGAGAAACACACGGCGATGGCCATGGGGGTGAGGACGGCGACGCGACGCCCGTATACTTCGGAGAGCGGTGCCCAGAGTAAAGGGCCGAGCCCGAAGCCCAGGAGAAAAAGAGTGGTGCCGAGGACGGCGACCTCGTGGCTGACGTCGAACTCGGCGGCGACCAGGTGGGTGCCGGACGAATAGGCGGAAGACGCCCAAGTGGCAGTCATGGTGACGAGGCCGTAGAGGAGCGTGGTGGTGGCTTTCTTGCGAGGCGGCCAGTTGACGGGACGGTACGGGTCGTCTGGTCCGTCAAAATCGACGAGATAGTCGTCAGTGGTGGGACAGCCGGCGAGCGGATGATGGAAGGGGGGCACGGGAGGTCGGGATCGAATTCTCGAAATGATGGACTCCCCGGAAAACCAAGGAACGAGCCCGACACCTTCGAAACCGGTCGAATGGGCCGAGACTTGAGATGCTGACAATCTCCTTGACCGACATCGTGTCAGCTCCTCTTCGGATGGTCGATGTCCATCGTATTGAGCAATCCCTTCAACGCTACCGACGCTCGATGGTCGTCTTGAAGACGAATAGCCGTGGGATGTGGCCGATGGTCCGGACGAGGAGGAATCGGACGCCTCCGGTCGAGAGGAGCTGCCTGTAGGGGGAGGTAGCTGTTGCTTTTCCGCGTGAGAGTCTGCGAACGGCATGATTCCCTAGCGAGGTCATTCGAGGTTCATTCGTTCATTCCTTGTAAGTAAATACACGAAAAAAAAACCAAGACAAAGAGGGTCGTAATTATGGCGTATATGAAATAATAGTTGTCGTCCTGGGATATTATCATGTATTTTCCCCCCGTCATATGGGGATGGACAAGCTGTAGTTGGACTTTGACATCCATTTAGTCCATCCCGGGCAATATAAAAGATAAGACATGTTCCCTGGGTTGGAGAGATGGTGACGTACGGGACTTGCAAATGACGGCTTTGCATCCGATGTCGACTCGAGTCAAAGGATGGGGAGGGAAGGGGAGTAAAGGGGAGTAAAGGGGGGAGTAAGGGAGGGTTTGGCTAAACTTGACTCGTACGTTGTGGTGTCGTCAATTTGGCAGACGACTCGACTCGACTCGACTCGGTCTTTTCCTACCTGGTAATAAGAAAAAGGTTAGAATTCCGTCGCCACTCGTTCGATGGACGAACGAATGAGAAGGCAAGCCGGAAAATCCCCATCAGACGAAGGCGAGAAACCCAGACGGAAAGAAAAATCATCGGCAAAAATGGTATGGAAATTCGTGGGTTGAGATATATCGTTTTTCCCGTCGTCGTCCAAGCAAGAAAAGAAAATCCCGGATCTACTCGTTGAGTCTATGAAAAAGAACGCCCCATAGAATCCCTATTCTCCTCCTCCTGCAACGGAAGGAAAAGTGAGGAAAATAAAAAGAAAATAAAAAGGAAAAGGGAAAGCAAACAAGAGACTGATCGTCGACCTTCGTGACTGTTGAGTGTATCCGAGATGAAGATGAAAAATAAAGGACCGCAAGGTGGGAGTGAGCAATGATGAGCAAACTTTTTCGCGTGCCTTCTTTTCCCGCAATACCTCAAGTTAATCAACCAGGGCCCATCTGTTTCCCCCATGTTGGTTAACTCTCTAGAACCGAACCGTCCTTTTGGTGTTCCGAATTGCCCGGACCCCAAGCAAGCGCTCTTCATAAAAAAAACCTTGTCCGTAGACGCGTCCTGTCGTAGCTGCCCAGGTCCATGACCAGTATCCGTGACCAGACCGCAATTCCGTGCGACCAAAACCATCATCATACGCCATGTCATGTGTATGCATGCTTTCTCAGTCATCACCTCTTCTCATCCCGGCATCCTCAACAATCGACTGAAGCCTGGCGTCCGCGTTTATCGGGCCGACATGGCCTTGGTGACGAGCCTCTTCAGGGCGAGCTCCTGCTTCTTAAGTTCCTCGGCCGAGGCGTCGTCAATCTCGAGCTTGGCCATGGCCTCGCTGACCTGCTGCTCGATCTTGTCCTTCTGGCCGCGCTTCAGCTTCAGGGACAGAGTGGGGTCGGAGATGATCTCCTCAACCCGGCCAATGTACGACTCGAGCTGCTGCTTGGCCTCGAACTTCTTGCTGAAGGCCTCGTCGTTGGTCTTGAACTTCTCGGCATCTTTAATGGCACTCAGGGTTAGCATGGACGATCAGGAGGCGAGACGACAAGTCGTCTGAGGGGAAAAGAAAAAGAAAGAAAAAAGAGCTTGCGTGAAACATACCGGTGATCATCTGCTCAATCTCAGTGGACGACAGCTTGCCGACCGAGTTGGAGATGGTAATGTTGGCGCTGCGGCCCGAGGTCTTCTCCGTCGCGGTGACCTTGAGGATGCCGTTGACATCAACCTCGAAGACACACTCGAGAACGGCCTCACCAGCACGCATGGGGGGGATAGGAGCCAGGGTGAATTCACCGAGCGAGGTGTTGTCCTCGCAGTTAACACGCTCACCCTGGTACACGGGGAACTGGACAGTCTGCTGGTTGTCGGCGACAGTGGTGAAGGTGCGCTTCTTGATGGTGGGGACGGTCTGGCCGCGGGGGACGACGGGCGCGAAGATGTTGCCTTCCATGGCAACACCGAGAGAGAGGGGAACGACGTCGAGGAGGAGGAGGTCGGCGGTCTCGGCCGAGGTGGCCTTGCCGGAGAGGATACCGGCCTGGACGGCGGCACCATAGGCGACGGCCTCGTCGGGGTTGATGCTCTTCTCCAGCTTCTTGCCGTCGAAGAACTCGGACAGGAGCTTCTGGATGCGGGGGATACGGGTGGAGCCACCGACAAGCACAATCTCTTCGACGACGCTCTTGTCCATGTTGGCGTCCTTCAGCACCTGGGCCACCGGCTCCAGGGTGCCGGAGAAGGCCTTGGCGTTGAGCTCCTCGAAACGGGCACGGGTGATCTGCATCTGGAAGTCCTCGCCGTCGAAGAGCGAGTCGATCTCGATGGTGGCCTGGGCACCGCTGGACAGGGTACGCTTGGCACGCTCGCAAGCCGTCCGCAGACGACGGAGAGCGCGGGGGTCATCGGAGATGTCCTTCTTGGTCTTGCGCTGGAAGTCCTTCTTGCAGTGCTCGAGCAGGTTGGTGTCGAAATCCTGGCCACCCAAGTGGGTGTTACCCGCGGTGGCCTTGACGGTGAAGACACCGCCCTGGATGTTCAGCAGGGACACATCGAAGGTACCGCCACCGAGATCGTAGATGAGGACGTTGCGCTCCTTGCCAGACTTGCCAGAGCCGAGACCGTAGGCGATGGCGGCGGCAGTGGGCTCGTTAATGATACGGAGGACGTTCAGGCCGGCGATGGCACCGGAGTCCTTGGTGGCCTGACGCTGGTTGTCGTTGAAGTAGGCGGGCACGGTGATGACGGCCTTCTCAACCTTCTTACCGAGCTTGGTTTCGGCAATCTCCTTCATCTGTTTTGGGGGGAAGTGGAGTTAGCACATGACGGCACACAAACAGTTTTTTTTTTCTTTTTTTCTTTTAATTTGTTCCTTGCTTTCATGTTTCAGGGGGGCAAAAACAAACCTTGGTGAGGACCATGGCAGAGATCTCCTGGGGGGAGAAAGACTTGGTCTCGCCGAGGTAGTCGACCTCGACTCTGGGGGAGCCATTGTCGTCAATGACCTTGAAAGGCCAAGACTCCATATCCTTCTTGACATCAGGGTCATCGAAGGGGCGGCCGATAAGACGCCTAACGACGAGAGTGGGATGGTTAGTTTTTTTCTGCTTTTTATTTGATATTGTTTTCTTGGTTTAGACGAAAGTGTGGTAACCAGCTGAGAAGTCACATAAAATGAAAGCTGCACAACCGCAGAAAGGGAAAAGGCACTCACTTGACGTCGAAGACGGTGTTCCGGGGGTTCATGGCAGCCTGGTTCTTGGCGGCTTCACCAATCAACCGCTCCTTCTCATTGAAGCTGACGAAGGAGGGGGTGGTGAAGGAACCCTGCTCGTTGGCGATGATCTCAACATTGGTGCCCTCATAGATGGCAACGCAAGAGTAGGTAGTGCCTGTGATATGGAGTCCAACGTTAGAAGCATTCTTTAATATTGGCTATGCCGATGCAATGAGGAAAAGAACAGGGGACGAAATTCAGAGGCCCAGGTCGGTCACCGCCTTCGCCTCAAAGCCGGGCAGTAACCGCCACGGGCGTCGACGTCGCTGCCACCCCAGCGCCTATTTTCAAACAAGATGAGATGCAAGAAAATAAAGTGAAGAATCACATACCGAGATCGATGCCAATGGCACCATCGTAGAGTTCTTCCGCCATCTTTGCAAGGTGTGTTTGTTGGGAGGGAGGTGGAGGTTGGAGGGTATGAAGGTGGGAGGGTTGATCGGAGGAAAGAGAGGCGGCACGCGGGGTCCTCAAGAACACTTTCAAGGGCCCTCTTTCAGAAATTTTTGGCCGGACAAAAAAATGGAATTTTGGCACTGAGAACTTTTTGCATGGGTCAATGCTAGACCTAATGTAGTTTAGTGTGTTTGGCCCCTGGTGGGACGGGGCTCGGCTATCTTATCGCTCCTTTTTAAACGAAAAAAATGTTTCCTAGCCTGCTTTTTCCCCACGGCTTCACCGAGTCCTCCATCCTGTCACCGAGTCAGGCCGCTCTTGGGGAGACTGCTAATAAGGAAACATCAACATCGGACGGCTCGTTTTCCCCCTACAATTACCCTGTATCGAACGGACTACGCATGGTCTACGTACCTTATATGCCTTGCCAATATAAGTGGGTTGCACGTGGTGAGACAAAGCATCTATTTTATAACCGCCCCGAGACTCGCTCCCTAAGGTACTTCGCATAAAAGCAAGACAAGAACAAAGGGAAGAAAAAAAGGAAGAAAAAAGGAAGAAAAAAGGAAGAGAAAAGGAGGGGAAAAAGGCAGTCAAACGTCCGAGGTGAACCGAGCACTTTGACCTTCGTTCGACCTTGACCTCCATGTAAATGACTCCAGCACTCCCAACATCCAGATTACCATCCCATGCGCCGTCATGTGGTTATTTCCTCCAAATACCAGACCACCATATTTTCTCCACCTCAACTCGCCCCAGGTTGGTCAAGGTGGTGATGTTTGTGATGGCGAGCATAATCATCCAGACGACCCAGGCGACAAGTACTACCCCAAAAGCGTGCTTGAAACCCACCCGATAAAACTCCCTCCTCTCCCGGCGATGCTTCATGAGCTGAGAATACCCCCGTAGGCCGACGTTGCCCGTATTCGCATCCATCGCCTCGTTCTCGATGCCGTAGTAACACACGCAACGCACCGGGTGCAGAACCGAACGCACGCGCCCCCCCTTGGCCGCCGCGTAGCGCTCGACCCGCGGCGCGATCGAAACGAGGACCCTCCCCACGTGGCTGGGCGGTTCCCTCCCCAGCCTCCTTTTTTCTTCATCCTCTCTCTCCACCCTCGAGACGGACTGCTGGAAGATCTCGCTGTCGCAGTGCTTGTAGGTCGGCATCCAGCGCTCGCCCGGGGCGGCCCAGTCGAAGACGACCACGGACGCGGGGACGCGCCGGATCTGTACGGCCAGCCACCCGGCGTGAGCCACCACGTTGTGGATGCTCTGGAAGAGCTTTTGCGGGTTGGACCTTCGTCGAGAACGGCGCCACGAGGTGCTGATCCATGCGTACGTGGGATAGAGTTGCATGACGATCCGGTAGGTTAGGTCATCGACTGCCGCCCAGAACTGCGAGGGCACGTAGTTGTTGCGTTCGAGGAACATGTTGATGTATTCCGCCCGCATGGTGGCGCGTTTGAATGCTGGAGCCCGTGTTAGCGAAGGGAAGCAAAAAAAGAAAAAAGGAAAAAAAGCAAAACAAAAAAAAAGAAGAGGGATTGCCTTAACCAAAGAGAATGACATACCGTCTGCCGATACCAAGTCCCTATCCTGGTTTCGTAGGATTTTGGCCTGATCCCGGCTGGCACCGAAAAGGAGCTCATCAAAGGCGTGCTCATGCAGCATCCTCAATACAACGGCAACAAGGACATGTCGCCTCTCCCGACGCGAGGCCAGCAGTGTGTCCCACGGGGACTGGCCGACGGGGTGAGGCCGAGCCACCGACTCGACGTACTCCTCCAGTGTGTAGTCGTTTTCTATGACATGTCGCATGGCCCAGGGCGAGACCGAAGCCCATCGCTCCTCCGTTATGGCGAAATTCACCTCCTCTGCGAAATGCCGGTGGATGGCCCTGTAGGCGTAGAGGAGAAGCTTGCTGTACTGCTCTCGGACGAAGGAGTCGTCTATCTGGCTTGCCGGCAGGGCCCAGACGCACTGCAGTCTGTCGACCTTGAACGCTTTCAGCGTGCTCAGTGCGACGTTCGGGTCCTCGTCGGGGTGCCGTATGAGCACATGCTGTTTGGGTTGCTTGGATGGTTCTGTCCCGTCCTGCTCATCCCCATTGTTGTTCGCCTGGCCCGAAGAGGACAGGTTGGTGTTTAGATGGAGGCCACTCGACGGCGGCTGGACAGTAGTAGGTCCGGACATGTCTTCACGACCAGTTCCAGACAATACGTACGTGGGGAAAGGTCTGTTGTGTCGGAGGGGTGCAAGGCGTCATTCAAGGCGTCGTTCGAGGTCGACCGTCGGTGCTGTGAATCATTGAATACTATGTCCCGGGACCAGTTGACGACAGATTACGTTCCGCTAGGGAAAACGGAGGAAACATTGGGTTTATTAAACACGAAAGGCGTGAAAGGCCGCAGGCAAAAGGAAGATGAGAGAGTCTTTGTGTGGATATTCTCGAGTTGCCCAAGTCATCTCTATCAGAACAATGACTCCTCCGAGTCAGACTACAAAGTAGCCATCCAGGGTGCGAATATTGAATGTGTTTGGTAAGAGGAGAGGTCCGGAATTCGTTGAATCGAGTGACAATCAAGACAAAGAAAATCCGACGTCTTCTTTGATGTCCATTCCAGAGAGGCCAGGGGGGGACGGAACCGGCAATAACCTCGAGGACAAAGATAGAAGCAATGGACGCCAGGTCCATGGTCCATGGTCCATGGTTGGCCCATGAGATGGCAATAGCCACTACCTTTCGTTTCTCTCCCTCTCCTTCTTTCTCTTTATCTCACCTACCTAGGCCCATCTAAGAGAAGGGGGGGGAACCCCATCCTTGCATGCAAGGCACAGCAGAGCTACAGGCCCAAATAAAGAATGGATAATAAAGAAAGGAAGGTCATGTATTCATATTTGGCAAAGACTAAGGTAGGAAGAGCTGGCATGTTCGAAATCCTTGTCGAATGAGACTGTCGATAGGAAACGCTGAAGGAGTTGGTCCTTTGTTACGGGAGTCTCTTATAGGAACAAAGGCTCGGCGGAAGCCAAAAAAAAAATTCCATAGACAGAAGCTAAGAGGTCTGACTCCGCTGGCAGGGTGACGATCAGAGAAAATGAGATTTCTCTTGAATTTCGCGAGACATTGTCGGAGGCAGAAAGGGAAAGCCATGGATGAGGTCGAGATGTGTCGGAAGTACATGTAGGCGTAGTAGGCGTAGTACACTACCTTAGTGTACAGGTAGGCGTAGAGAGATTACAGGGATTATGTGATACACACATGCAACCGAATATTAGTCAGCGAGCCGCCCCTCGTCTTCTCTTGCGCTCCATGAAACCACTAGTTCAACTTTTTTTTCCCCCTCGCAGCAACCATCACCAGCGACTGCGACTTCCTCGACCTTCTCAGAACGCATCGTTTATACGGTACCTGACAGGACTTACCTGCTAGGCCATCACTCCGACAAAAAACTGACTGCCTGGTGCAAGTCATTCTTATTCTCCCGCCAGCACAAGGAAGGAAGTAGTGGATCTACCTACCCTCCGTGTCATCTTTCTCACCCGCACGCACCGCAACTACCACCCACTCAACGCTTAGTCCCACGACTACTACTTTCCCGGCCTCGCGGATCTTGAAATCCTCCCAACAAGTCTCCGTTTTTATCTTAACTCCTGATTCTGCCTGCTTCTGCGTCCACTGCCAGAACCTACCAGGCAACTGCTCAACAAGACAAGACTATTCCGAGATATATATCTTGCGTGCCCTCTCGTTCTCCGATCCGAACTCCATCAGCTTCGACTATTCCCCGCTCCTCGACAAGCTTCTCTCTAGAATCCCACGCAAAATGGCTTCCACAGCTGAGATGCCGGCCGCTGAAGGCCCCAAGATGAACGAGCAAGTTGATCTCACCACCATCCCCGTCTCTCCCAACGGCGATGGCCCCGACGCCAGTACGGACAACGATATCAAGACCATCTTTCATGACAAGGATAATTTCAATGTCAAGCACCCGCTCCAGAATAAGTGGACTCTCTGGTATACCAAGCCTCCGAGTGGGAAGGTACGTGTCGTCCGTTCCATACCCTCTTAGGTATGATGACGCAGCTAGTCTAACATACCTTTCTCTAGGGTGACAACTGGAACGACTTGCTGAAAGAAGTCATCACCTTCGATTCCGTGGAGGAGTTTTGGGGCGTTCAGGTACGTTAGAGCACCTCCTCGTTACATTACAACCAAAGAACGGTCCGCCCTTCGATGGCTTCCTCTAACTCTTCTTCGCTATCTAGAACAACGTTGCCGCCGTCTCCAAACTCCCTCAAAAGGCCGATTACCACCTCTTCAAGGCCGGCGTCCGGCCCGAGTGGGAAGACGCCCAAAACAAGCACGGCGGAAAATGGTCATACCAGTTTAAGAGGCCACACAGCGTTAACATCGACGAGATCTGGCTCCACGTCATGCTTGCCGCCATTGGCGAGACGCTCGAGGACGTGGAAGACGGCGAGATCATGGGCGTTGTCGTCAACGTTCGCAAGGCCCTTTTCCGCATCGGTGTCTGGACTCGCACCATAGGAAAGAGCATTCCAGGCCGGGGCGATGGGGACGTGGCGGGCGGCAAGGGCCGCTCCCCCGACAAGGCCAAGAAGATTCTCCTGGACATTGGCCAGCGTTTCAAGAGCCTCCTCGACCTGGGCCCCGGCGAGCTCGTCGAGTTTTCTGGCCACACGGATAGTGCCCACAGCGGTAGCAGCCGTGCCAAGGCCAAGTTTACCGTGTAAGGGAGGTTGAACGACAGCCCCCGCTGGCTTGCTCGTTGAAACTCCCTTGCTTCCATCATGTAGCGGAGGCCTGGGGACATGTAGTATGAATGATTCCGACGGAAGCATGACATCCATACCCATTATCTTTTTTTTTTTCCTTTCTTTTTTCGCTCTATCCACGTGGATTCCATTTCTGAAGCCAGCCGTCGCTTTAGGGTGTTGGCTGACGCTGGGGAAACTTTGGGGCACCCAATACCAACTTTGTGTCTGTCAACTGCCTCGCTAAATTTAAGCGACGGTTGTTAAAGACAGCAAACAACGGTGTCCTATCGTGCGGTGGCTACTGGGGGTCTAATATCTGGCCGTGACGCAGGGGTTTTCACGGTTACACGTCTTTTAACGCTTTTTGGTCAAGGCGTTTCGTTTGAACATTTTGGCCCGGAATCGTCATGACGCTCTTTGGGGGTGGGATAGCACAAGCGGCAAGATGATATCGAGTAAATGAAATTCGTGCCCATGTTTCGGTGATCACGCTTGTCCTTGTTTTCTCACGGGGCAATAAACACTGGTTGAATTCCAACTGCACTAACGACCCTTCGTGTTGTATCCCGGGAATGTTCTAGGGTGGATGAAATGAGTATGGTTTCGCCGCGACAAAGGAATGGAGAAATAACGCCATGAAAAGCCAACACCATGCATGCAATGTCTATATCCCCTACAACCTCTTTCTTTTCCTTCTCCCGCCTCACCGAAGCAATCACAGCTCGTCCTCGCTAAAATGATCGGCAAACACCTCCTTGACCAGCTCCTTCTTGTTAATCTTCCCCATGGCATTCCGCGGGATATGGTCGACGACCCTCAGGACCTGCGGGATCTTGTAATTCGCCAACCGGTGCCGCAACGCCCTCCGCATGTCCATGGGCGACCACCGCGCGCCCTCGGGCACGACGTCGCGGTTCAAGATGACCACGGCGCCGACCTTCTGGCCCCATTTCCCCGAGGGCACGGCGACGACGGCCGCCTCGGATACCTCGTCGAGGGAGAGCAGCTCCCGCTCGACTTCGAGCGCGCTGACCTTCTCCCCGCCCGTCTTGATGATGTCGGCGCTCTTCCGGCCGAGGATGAAGTACATGTCCCCCTTCGCCCAGGGCTGGGCGCCTCCCTCCCCTCCCGGCTGGCCTGCGCCTGCGCCTGCGCCCGAGACGGCTCGACGGACCGCGACGTCGCCGGTGCGGAACCAGCGGCCGGCGTCGCGTTGGGTGTTCTGGCTTTCGTTTCCGGTGCCGTTTCTGTTGGTGGGGCTCTCGTCGTCTGGGACGAATTCCTTGGCCGTGGCGGCCGGGTTGCGCCAGTACTCTTTGAAGATGGTGGGCCCGCGGAGCTGGATCTCGCCGGGGCGGTCGCGGCCCTCGGGACCCTCGGGGAGGATGGCGCCCGTGTCGAGGTCGGCGAGGCGGGCTTGGACGCCCGGGAGGGGCCAGCCGACGGAGGCGTCGACGCGGTCGGCGACGCGGAGGCCGCAGGAGAGGGCCATGCCTACCTCGGTCATGCCGTAGCGTTCGAGGAGGACGGTGCCGCGGGAGAGGCGGCGCCAGGCGTCTTTGATGGGGGTGGGGAGGGCGGCGGAGCCGGAGATGGCGAGGCGCATGTGGGTGGGGGAGACGGCGTCGCGGGCTGCTTCGGATAGGTCGGGGGGGAGGTCCTTGTGTGAGCTGAGGAGGCGGGAGTAGACGGTTGGGACGACGGTGAAGAAGGTGATTTTCTCTTTCGGTGGGGTGGTATTGCTGTCGTTGCTGTCGTTGTTGTTGTTCTTATTGTTCGGCTGAGGGGATGCGACGAGAGGTGCGGCGAGTCGGGACCATACGACAGACGGATTGAAGGGGAAGAGGAACTCTATGGCGCTGCCGGCGAAGAGGGGTGTCAGGAGGGCGTTGACGGTGCCGTGGATGTGGTGGAGCGGGAGGACATGGAGGAGGTGGTCTCGCGAGGAGTATTCCCAGGCTTCGATGAGCGAGCGGGCCTGCGCTGTCAAGACAGATTGGGGTAATAGGACGCCTTTCTATGATATGAGATGATCAGTATGAAGAAAGATACTTCGAAAATGACCTTCAAGATGGCCAGTTGGTCACTTTGGTCATTCGTACCGGTCGGTTCGTCGTTCCCGACGTATAGAGCATCATGCCCGCACCTCCGAAATCGACATCTTCCAGCTCGATCTTCTCATGGGGGCCGCCGCCGAGGTGTTTTCGGATTTCCAACTGCGCCGGTTGGTATTCCAAGCCAGTCGCAAGCACGTCGCGAGCTCTGCCGGCGAATTTGGCTGAATTGACGACAATCGCTGCCTGGCTTTGGTTGATTATGTACTGTAACTCGGCGGCGGGGAAGGCTGGCGAGAGGGGAACGGCAAGGGATCGAGCGGCGAAGGCGGCGAGTAGTGTCACTACGTACGCGCAGAGGACAGAAATCAGCTTTTTGGTGGATATTCTTCTTATGTGTTACGGAGAGAGTGTAAGGCATGGCTTTACCGACGTAATCGTAACTGTTCTCTACCAAGAAGGCGATGCGCTCGCCGTTGAGGCTCGTCTTGCCCGTCGCGGACAAGAGCTGGTCTCTCGTCCGCGCGACATCCCCCAACAGTTCCCCGTACTTGAATCTCCTCCCGGATAATGAGTGTACGACGGCTGTAGACTCTGGTTCATGGCCGGCAATAGCCTCGAAGAGCGGCAGCTTCGGTAGAGTCGAAGTCATTCTGCTTCTGCTGCTACTGCTGCTGAGGCATCGAAGACCGAGGGGAGGGGGGAGACCGGCGTGGACGGGGCGGACCACAGCCATTGGGAAGATAAAGGCTGACAGGCATCTACAACAGGCTGCTGCAGGTCGTCGCGTGGCGACCCGCCGCAATGGTGGGAAGGCGAATGAAGACATGAGGGGGTGCTGGGACGGTGGGATCCGATCATTGCGGAAATGTGTGCCCGCCCGCAACCCGCCGCCATGGGAGCAGCGTTCTTCTGGTTTTCTGATGCCCCTCAGTCACGTCACGTGGGGTCGGACCTATGACCTATGATCCCTTAGCCTAAGGTATCCGCTGCTGTACCTTCGGAGAACCTACGTTCACTGACACCGAGTTATAGGGCACTAATAATAAATATAGCGCTAAAAGGGGACTTTGGACCTAGCGTAGGTACGAAGCATAGAAATTCGCGTGAATATTAGGTCATTAAGCTGCCTTCTACGCTTCTAACTTGAACGATCTTGATATTGCCTACCTTATCTATAAAAACAAGTTGAGAATCCAATTAACTCCCCTGCTCCTCGATCTTTGACTCTGTATACTTATCTCCTTAACCTGCACTCTCCTGTCTCTGGTCCCTACTTGATTCTCCCTCCAGGCTCTCCTGCTCTCCGTCATCCTGGTGACGGCTCTCCTGTCCCCGGTTTTCCTGGCCCTGGCTCTCCTCCTGGCCCTGGCTCTCCGCCTGGTCGCTCTCCTGCCCTCTACCATCCTGCTCCCGGCTCTCCTGCTCTGCGCTCACGTGCACCCAGCTCTCCTCTCTTAACTCTCCGCTCTTTTCCCTCGGCTCCCCGCTCTCCGTAAAATCTGATACCATGCGGTCATCGTCGACGGCTTCGCCCGACTCTTCGACCACACGCATGGTCTCCAAAGCCTCTGCGATCCGCCCCAGGATGGCATCATCAAGCTGCAGGTTTTCAGCATCTGCAGCAAATGAAGCAAACCGTTCCTTCCAAAACTCCCACCTCTCGATGCCCAGCGGGTCTATGTCCTTGCACAGCGAGCCCCCCTTGTGAATCCGGAGCATGTCCTCGCCAACCTCCTCCTCCGGGGCCATCCAGCCGGCCGAGACGTCTGCGCACTGGATCATCCACTCGCTTGCCACCCACAGCCAGCATTCCATGTCGGGCCCTTTCTCTAGCGGTTCCTCGAGCGCCCGTCTGATCTCCCAGAGGCCATACATGATCCCCGAGTTGAAGCTGCGACGCGTGAGCCGAGCCATGAACGAGTTCAGGTTCTTCCACTGGATGGCTTGTTCGGTCAGGTCCTCATCTCCATCCTCATCCCAACTAAATGGACCTGGAAGTCATTAGCAAAGAGATCCCTGTAGTCCCTAGAGAGACGGATCAAATTTCCGCTTCATTACCGATCCAATTTTCCCTTATGGCCATGCCGAAATAAGGAAGATTCGCCCATAAAAGCATCTGTTGGTAGAGAGATCGATTTCGTCAGCCCAAAAATCAAGTACACAGAATAGGGCCTGCGTCTTTTCCTCACGTCATTTCCCTCCACCATGCTACCCTCCCAATGGCGGATGATGTCCAGGGTCTGAAGAAGACTGTCCTGCCAAGGATGGTCTGGCGGGATACAGCGGACAACACCAATGAATATGTCCCAGACTGACCCGAGGACATCGGCTAGGTTTGTGGCTTTCCATTCCGGAGTGGTCGGGAACTGAAGTGTGGCCTTGAGAACGTTGAGGATAGCCCGTTCCTGTTGTCTGCTTGGAAAATCGCCTATCGCGTAGAAGTTCTCGACGGATTGGAGACTGACATCCATTTTTCTTTTGAGGAATTTTCGATCGAGCAGAGTTGATAGTCGCAACTTGCAACTTGCAGGAAGAGATGCGGATGCGGGGCATTTAAGAGCTGGTTGGCGGCCTGGCATCTAATAATTCAAGTTCCCTCACGGCGCTTATTATTCATCGGCAGTGGAACATTTCCTGAATCGAATACAAACTGCATTTGGAGTGTTGGTGCGGGCTCCTCCAAGTCTCATGGTCATATGGTCATGATACGACATCCAGTCGTCATGTCGGCCAATGCAAAGTGAAGATGAAACAGGAAAGGAAAAGGTGAGGCCGCATCGGTTGGCCTTTTGCAATCGGCGCGTTGGCCGTCGACATAGATGTGCTACTGTGAACAAGGCGGACTTATGCTTACCCGGCGTGTTGGCTGTCGAACATGGATAACAGGGCGGCCTCATGCTTGCCTCGGCGCTTATTATCACAGTCGCCCGCGGCCCTCCTGCAGCCTCGCACCTGGCGCTTCCACCATGTCGGCTAGCCGCCGTGCTGCTCGCCTCCTGGTCACCTTCTGGGTGTCTGGGACGAGCTTCAAAACGGGAAAGTAATCCTGCCAGCCAGAGAGCCATGGCATAGTATCAGCTGGACATATAAACCAAACACAGCCTCTGACTTCAGATGTTGCTTAGACCCAGCATGTTCTCCATCGTGGTACCTTCTTCTTGTCATCTGTCTTAGGCACATTCCCTTTACAAAGTCTATTCCCGCTGTCTTTATCATGGGCCTCTTTCGTCGTTCTAAACATTCGGGCTCTGATGAAGTAGACGGATCTGGTAGAGGACGTTCACCAGCTCCGACGTCCGGTCCTCGAGCTGGGCATTCGGGCTCAGCTCCAACCCCACCAGCCGGATCTGGTATTAGTTATGCGGGCGTAGCGGCATTACCCCGACCGGGTGCTGGACATTCTGGCTCAGCTCCACCGCCCGGTTCGCGTGCCGGGTCTTCAGGCTCAGCTGCACCCCCACCAGCTGGACCTGGTGATGGGCACTCCGGCTCAGCTCCACCTGGGTACACACCTCCTGACCGGACGCACACAAACTCGTCGCATGTACGTGTTCACCGAAGCCTGGCACTCTCTTTCCTCGGTATAAGTGGAACACTAACATTACCCACAGTATAGTTTCGATGGAATCCAGTGGATAAAAAACGACCCCGATGCTCAAACCTGGATGTACGCAAGAGAGGCGAGAGCGCAACAAGCTGGTCTGCCTGCAGGTCGGGCGCCTCCGGGCACCAAGTATCCTTCAGCTACTGGAACACAGAAGAGCTTGAACTCTCGACTCCAGGCACTAGGACCCGTAATGGGCCTATGTGGCTTCACCATCCACTTATTCCTGGCACCTCAACTCCCTGGACCTCTGGGAGGCCAGGAGGAGTCCGGAGCATGTACACCGCCGGAGACCCAAGTACATTCGATGTTGCGTTCCATGACCCGAGAAAGCCCCGCACAGGACCGTTTGAAGCATTTACGCTGGCGGAATACCGCCCGGCAGTTCCGCCGCCGCCAACCACCTGATTGCAAGCTTTTGTGGTGGACAAGCTCTGTGTTGTCCTTGTTTTTCTTGAGCCATTGCACCACTGTCATTGGGATTGTTACTGTCGTCGTTGTCCTTATTGTTCTTAATTTTGATTAATGTCTACCAGGACTTGCGGATTTCTTGAAGCCGGGAAGGGAGGATCCGTCCTCAGGGAAGTCGCGGCAAGTGTGCAGACGGCGTTTGTCCAACCATTGTCATTCCGGGAAATCATATCTGATTAAATTAGCGCATCTTCAAAGAGTCTGATGTTGTTACAGTTATAGCCTCCTGTTCCATATCTCGGTCGTCGTTTAAGCCTCAAATTTAAATAGCTCACTGTCGTCCCGATGTGTCTCTAGTCCACACGAGAAGCGATGGCATCGCAAGCAGCCCGCCCCGATTGCCTACCAAACGCGGCCGAGTTTGGCGAACTGCACCGACTCTTAAAGGCGATTGGGGAAGATTGGCCCCAGAAGTGAGTGTCGGCTCCGTTGCGGCCCGAGTGGCTGTGGGATGGATGTATCCGTAAGTTGATGAGTGGAACTGCCGATGATCTGTGGTATCCAAATGATGAGAGATGAGCAACGGACAAGGCTGGATCAATTGACGTGGTGGTGAGTGGGAGGAGGTTGACCATGAGTTAAATACCTTAAGTAAGGTAAGGTACCTAATTACTTGGTAAAGTACCCAGGTAGCTTAGGCACCTTATCCATGCCACAGGCGCTTATCGATAAGAAACAGGTCCCACCGCTCTGTCTGATAAGGAATTGCTTGGTATCAAGTCGCAACTTTTTTTCAACTGCGCATTTACCTAACCCAAGTCGAAAACCAGCGACATCCACGAAACCATCAGTTCGACGACATGGCCTCAGTGTACAAAACCGTCACAAGCGATGGCGCCAGTGCCAAACGCGATGCTAAGGCTCCTGGCGAAAAGACTCGGCAGGAGAACAAGCAGAGGGTTCTGATTCTTTCATCAAGAGGTGTCACCTACCGGTAAGAGTGACCGTCAATAGAATGGCGCATCCTGAAAATCTTGGACCTAACGCTGGTCTTCTATACCTAGGCAACGACACTTTCTCGACGACCTCTCCACTCTGCTTCCACACGGGCGCAAAGAATCCAAGTTCGACTCCAAGAAGAAGCTGTACGTTCTGAACGAACTTGCCGAGCTATACAATTGCAACAATGTGAGCGCCGCCATTTACTCTCCTCTCGTCTTCTGCTCCCGTCTTAGCAGTTGCCGTGTTATTGCTTCTCTCTCAAGAAAATGAAGCTGATGAAAGTCTCTAGGTGTTATTCTTGGAAGCTCGGAAGCGCGAGGATCTCTACATGCATTTGTCCAAGGTGCCCAATGGCCCAACTGTCAAGTTTCACATCCAGAATCTGCACACCATGTCAGTTTTCTCCCCCCCCCCCCAACCATCTCGCATTCAGACTGCTGACTGTTGCACGCCATTACAGGGAAGAGCTGAACTTTACAGGCAACTGCCTGAAGGGCTCGCGGCCGATCCTATCCTTCGACGCTGCATTCGATCAAGACCCATCTTTTCGGCTTATGCGCGAACTCCTCACACACGTATTCGGCGTGCCCAAAAACGCGAGAAAGGCCAAGCCATTCATCGATCGGGTCCTGGGCTTTAGCATAGTCGACGGCAAGATCTGGGTGCGCCATTACCAAATTGCCGAAGAAGACGCAGCAGGGGCTGCGGAGAAGAACATTTCGCTTCTTGAGATCGGGCCTCGTATGTGGCACCCCCTCCCCTGGGAGCAGCAATACTCACATTTCAACTGTCGGAGAAAAAAAAAAGAAACTAACATGTCTTTTTTTTCTTGCGTCCAGGTTTCTGCATGACGCCGATGATTATTCAAGAAGGGTCATTTGGTGGAGCTATCATATACGAGAACAAGCAATACGTATCCCCGAACCTGGTCAGAGCCGAATTGCGGAGGAAAGCTGCTAGGAGGCACAGCGCGCGGCAAGCGCAGGTCGTGGAACGCGAGGTCAAGAAGGGTAGGCTTCAGGGAAGCAGCAAACCTGATGCCTTGGACTCGAGGAAGTTGTTTGCTTAAGGTAGTAAATAGGGTGGGACGAGCTGCCACCATTGGCGATTAAAAGTGGTCTATTTACGCAGCGGAATTGGACTTGACTTGGTAGCATTCGGACATTTTCGACAATTATCGGTGACAACTCGGGCATAGGAGTGAAAGCGGACGGAGGCGGGAGGCCCAAAGGCACTGCTCTCTTCGCCTGCATGGCTCGTCCGATGACTAAAGTGACCCCTTTTCCCTTCCAGGATATGAGAACTTAGGCTTCTTACTAAGTATCTGTACTACAACAGTAATCTCTGTGCATCCAGATGCCTTATGGAGTAATTAAGGTACTTGGTGGTAGGTGGGTATGTATTCACTGGCCTCACCGACTTGCGGCCATTGGAGCCCAACACCCTTCGCTGTCTTCAATGCAATGTGCAGTTTGGTACAATATATTCTGCTAGTCTCTTCCAGAAAACACGGCAGAGAAATACTCAAATGACTAGCCGTCTTAGTAGTAGTCGGAATGATATCTCCCAATCCGTTCGTCATGGGCATAGGTACGGCTAAAGAATTGCCGATCAAACCACCGCATCTCACTAAGGTAGGTACCTTAGTGTGTGGACACAGTGACAGCTCAGGAGGATTCCGGCGTCGGAAGGGGGGAGGGAAAGCCAAAAGACCAAAAAAGCCCACCATGCCATGACAGGTCATGCCATGGCTTCTTCGTCTTCCATGGACGTGGAGGTTCCGGAGCGGTGCAACCCGGCCGCAGACACAGACCGCACACTGCAGACCAGACCGCCCTTGTCCCCACTGATGCTCCCGACCGCGAGGAACGATAGGGGCCGCCCTCACCGCTGATTGGGCTCGCGTGCAGGTACCTAAGGTACCTGATGCAGCCAAGCCCCTGGAGTCACAGCACAACCACACAACGCGCACACACACACATCGGCGGTCAGCACCTCTTCACCGAAGTTTCGGTGACCCTTTTTTTTTTTTCTGTTTTTTTTGTCCAACAACCACAGAACGGGCAGGGCAGGGGCTGGAAAACAAGCACAGCCCCGGTGTTGAAAAGGGCCCTGTTTTTCTGTCTTGGTATCTTTTAGTATCTTTTTCTTCTTACATTGACTGGTCTGTCTTGTCCGGGTGCTTATCAAATCCGTATTCCTGGATGTAAGCCACTGGTCCCCTCCCCCAAGCTCTCTTCTTCAAGCCCCTCCTACTTTTCCTCTAGGTTCCCTTCTACTTCGTACTCTTCTTCCTTTTCCCCTCCGCCATCACACTCTCCAAGAATCCGTTGGCTGTTCTTTACCTACTCTCTTCGCTTACACAAGGCCACCAGCTACCATTGAAACGTTGGCCCCGAGGGTCACATCGGAAACCAACGCTCTTTCAAGGACCATTTGTATTCCGCCATTTACGCCTCTTTTCCAATGCTTCGAAGATACGCCCTAGGTTTCTCCTCCAACGCTTCACGGCCCTTCTCCGCCATGTCGTCGTCTGCTACTCCCCTCGAAGATGCCATCCGCAGCAAGGTAAGCTTATGTCGACTCGTCTTCCCCTCTGTCTTACTCCTTCGGTGCGAACCACGCGAGGTCATGATGATTAACAAAGCAACCCACGTGGCATCCAGATAACTGCAGCCCTCTCACCCTCAGTCCTCGAAATATACAACGACTCCCATCTTCATTCCCACCACAAAGCCATGGTGGGCAACAGCTCCAGAGAAACTCACTTCAGGTACAGCCATTTCCCCCGGTTCTTCACCCCCCCTCCCCCCATATTCTCTTCATTCTTGACATCTCAACCCGGAGACTAACACAGGCGCCCCCCCAGACTCATCATCATTTCCGACGCCTTCCGCTCCAAGATGCAGCCCGCCCGCCACCGCATGGTCTACGCTCTGCTCCGCGAAGAGATGGACCGGGAAGGCGGCATCCACGCCCTGCAGCTCCGCACCCTGACCCCGGAGGAAGAGGAGCGGCAGAAGACCAAGGCGGCCCGTGCCGCCGAGGAGAAGAAACAGAGCCAGGAAGCCCAGGCGGAGAAAGAACACTCCGAGACCAAGGCCGAAGCTGACTCTGCGACCGCGACTGCGACTGCGACTGCGACTAAAACCAACACTGATGGCGCTTGACGAGACGAAAATGAACGAAGTGCGACGCTTCCGATTGATTACAACATGTCGGCGACATTTTTCATTCTATTAGGGGCTGCAATCACGAATAAGGGTTACGACAACTTTTTTCTTACGAGCAACATGAAAATACATCTTTGAAAAATATACACACTGGACACAAGAAAGGTCACTGTGTGGAATAGCTGAAAGAAGAAAGAAAGATGAGAACGGGGGCATTATGTGGATGGTCGGACAGAATGCAAGGGCAAAGACAACGAGGAAGACACGGAATCATGGACCGGCGCTGGGATTTTTCTCTTCTTCTCGGGGGTGTTGGTGGTTGAACCATAACTTGGTTCGACTTTACACTCGCCCCTTTCATGTCCGTCACTATGCTTCCTTCATTTCAACTCAATTCCACAACCGAAAAGGAGAGGGGGAAAACAAAACCAGAAACAGAAGACAGAAACAAGAAAACTAACGACACTCGCACTGCGGCGCATCTAGACAGGGTTTGCCCAAAGCAAATACACTACCGGACTTGCTTGGTTCTTTTCATTCATTTCATTCTTTTCTCTGCTTAGGATTAGTGGGATGGATATTGTGTATTGTACAAGCTCCGGCTTCTCTTCTGCAATGCTAAGAATGCCCATATGCACAGAATGATTGCATCTCCAAACAGAACCCGACCGTCCATCCCCGAGTCTTTTTCCTGAACGCCCAGCCAAATCTCTGTAAGGGTATCAAATACTTCTTTTTTTTATCAATATGACGCCGACCACAAGTAAGATCACTATAACGCCACCCCATGTCGCTGCTTATGGGAGACAAGGGGCCGAGAAATCCTCCAACCCCACAGTATATCGAAATATCAAAGCAAGGTTACTACTGTCTGGGAGGAGCAGTAGAAGACGCCTGTCCCGGCAGGCGACCCTCTTCTTTGAGCTTCTGCAAGTGCCGCCGAAACCTCTCCTGGCGGCTTTCTTTCTTTTTGTTCTTCCGGACGCCGCCTGCCTCCACTGTCAAGGTGGAATAAGCGCTCGACGCTGGGCTGGGTCCACCCGTCGGAACAGCTCCGCGGGGGGGCAGGGTGGTGCGTCGGGTCGCCCGCGACGCGCCCTCGGGAGTTGTCAGCGCGAAGGACGGAGGTAGCACTCTCGATTTCGCCTTGATGGGGGTGTGATGGCCGGGAGGGGGGGGAGGCATGGACTGTCGGGTTCTGGGTTGATGGCCGTCGTGTTGAGTTGTCAGTCGGCGGCTGTCTGGGTCAGGTGGTGGCTGTTGTTCATTGGAAGTATTTTCCGGCTTCTCGGCGATGGGCGCCGCTCGATCGGTACTTTGATCCCCATCTTCGTTGGCTACAGTCGTCGAATCACGCTGTTGCCGGGCATCTTCCATCTCCACAGCAGCTTCAGAGCTGTCCCTGTTGGAATCTACCAGGTTGATGACGGGTGCGGCATCTCCCGCCGTCCTTGGCACATGCGTATCCTGGACGTCCTGGACGGCCAACTGCTCCTCCGCATGGAGTGGCAATGGGCGCTCTCGGAGTGGTTCGGCAGATCCCTGGGGCCGTGACGCAGGACGTGATGTGTCCGGTCCAGCCGGTGGCTTCGATGCCTTTGTCGCGGCCGATTCAGACGGGAGTGCCAGCCCCTTCGCAGTCTTGGGAGCCTCCTCCCTGGGTAAGCTAAATGACTTATCCACAGTCGGAGAGCGAGAAAAGCCTAGAGCCTTCCTGGCCTCGTGGTACTCCTTGGCATGGACTTCAAAGACACGGCTGAGATTCTCGTTGGTGACGATGCCTTCCAGGTATAATGGTCGAGGGATATTCTCGACATACCATTCCATGGCGTACAGGGGAGGATCGTCATCGGTCTGTTCGATGTAGCGGATGTAGTCGTCGCAAAATATCCTGATGAAGTCATCATAAAGGAAAACCGGGAGTTTTCGCTCCCGCCGAAGGCTTTTGATGGACAAGCATGCCCTGACAAAGTCTCCGAGACTTCCCCTAAAAGAGTCGTAGGCAGACCGAAACGCTTCGAGCGGCTCTCTCCAGAAGGACTCGTCCAGGTTAGGCTCCAGCCGTGTTGGATCCCTTTCCGTGATTGTGTCCGTTTCCGTGATACGTTGCGCCACTGTTGGAGAATTCACGGACCCAGGAAGATCAGAGCGAGCCGGTGCGTTACATTCGTCGTTTTTGGACTGCTGCGCCGGCAAAATCTTCTCGCACGGTTCAAGAACGGATTTCGCAGCCTCTGGCTTGTCAGAGGGGACTGGTTTGACTGTTGTCCTGGGAGGCGGAAATGTGGCGGATATCGGCGAGGAGGATGTCGACATGGTGGGATTTGCAGGTGTCCGAGACTCGGCGGGAATTCCTTGGCCTGGATTTGGCGTCCGTTTGACCGTGTTGGACACGACACAGCCAGGGCTATCATCGAACTTGATCCTCTTCATAGGACGGCGCCTCCGAGACGGGTCTTGCTTAGGCGGGCTTTGCGCAACGGTGTACGTGGAAGGAACCATGCTTCCCTGGCCACAAGGGGGGGTGTTCGCGAAGGTTACCTTGCCTGCGATGGACACTGAAGTCTTGTTGATGGGTGGTGTCGCGCGGAACAAGGCGTCAGGAATTTCGGCCTCGAGTTCGTCGGGGACAGAACTGCTGGGTGGAATCAGGGTGGCTAGAGTCCGCTGCACGAGTGGCGAGGGCAGGGGAACATGGGCGGCTTGGGATTGCGTCTGAGCAACGGAAGCAAAGGTGCCCAACTTATCAGGGGTCGATGACGGTTGAAGATTTCGCAGCGCATCTTTCGGCTCGGGCAGTGGCGACTGTGACAGAATGACATCTGATTGCCAGTTTGAGATACGGTTCTCGCCCATGACAACTTGTGAGATTGGCTTCCGAGCATTTGTGTCGGTTCGTTGCGGTGGTGACGAAGTGGGGAGGGCTTGGCTCAAAGCGGTTTCCGAATCTTCGCTGTCGTCAACTGGTTTCTGGATATCTGCTGGCGGTGGAATAGGCCTTGGTGGTGAGGGGGGCCATGATGATATCGGTATTCCTTCCGATGACTCGGACGACGAAACTGGTGAAGAGGCACGATTCTGCCCTTCGTCGTGGCCGTCGTCGATGGCCTTGCGCTTCTTGGACGAGGTCGCTTCGGTGGAGGCGCTTGACGAGAGGGGCTTCTGAGCAGGCGGAGGCAAAATCCTAGCCTTCAAGTCGTCCAAGACGGCCGGGGGGACGTTGAAATACGGCTTGGTGGTATTGACGGAGGGGTTGAACCACGAGTCTGGGCGATCTAGCAGCGCGCGCTGATCACCTGGTATACGGAAAAGTCGGCGGGGTATAAAGCTCTGTTGGCGGATAGCATGGTGAAGAGATGACGCGGCTGTCGTCGAACTGGTAGGGGCCGCGGGAGCCATGATTTCGGGTACTGCGAGTACCGCTACTCAGGGGCCGTGACCAAGTCCGAGGCGGCGGAGCATTGATGTTGTAATCAAAGGCCCCAGGCATTCGTTCTAACGGCTATTGCCTAAGAAGCTATTCACCAGCTTCATTAGCAAAAGGGTAAAGCATGGGAGAATCAAGAAGCTTCAGGGTGTTGTGGTGAGGTGGGGCGAGGAAATGTACAATGTACCTAATGAATAACTGAAGGATGAAGAAGCGTGACAGGCGCGACACAACGCGCCTCAACCTTATCAGTACATGTAGTTAAGGTACCTGAGGTACCCAGTACCTAGGTAAGGTAAGGTACATAAAGTACCTACACCCAAGGTACGAAGTCCTCCTCCACAGGTACCTAAGGTATGGTACTATGAAGGTAAGGGTAGGTACCTACCCGGGTTTAGGGGGGTATAGGACAGAGCCCGATAACTCTGTCAACAGTCTTAGAACATTATATCGACAGAAATTTCTCTGTCCTGGCTCTGGTCAGAGCAAAAGTCTCTATCCGAGCTCTGACCTATAAACCCCCCCTCCCGGGTACCTAGGTAGGTACCGTCCAAAATGGGGACCTTATCGATAAGATTATTAACCATGATCGTGGATATAGGTACTATGATGGGCTTGTAACTCGTCCTTTGTCCTCTACTCCTTGAACCAGGCATGGAAGTATTAGTATTTTAACACTTCACACTTCTAATCTTCCGACTTCTATCCATAGCCACGACTACATATCTTCTAGTCGACTTGGTCTTGTCTAGAGACTAGTAGGCAGTTTGATCAATTTTCATCCGAGTTTCCCAGCATTTCCTGAAGATCTGAAGATGGCCCCGCTGTGATATGACGTGGGCCATCACGTGCTATTCCCTCAAGCCGAGTACCTTCGGTACGGGTACTTTGTATGGATACACGTCAAGTACCTTACAAAGTAGAACTCGCCAAGTCCTCATGATCTCCAAACGTGCTCCAGGGGCCCAACCAAAGTATATATACATGTACACCTCCACATGCGCAAATGTCCTGTCATGTACCTGTGACAACAGGCATCCATCCACTCCCAGTGAAAGCCCGGTCTTGCTTGGAACTTGAGGACCATCTTCGTCTTCGACCTTTCCCACCGACTTTACCTGCAGATATGCCCTTCTTCGTCGCACTTTAAGACGCATCGGACTCCAGTTTTCCACCCTGTTTCGTCATTTGCGTGCCTCCGTTGCTTCACATCATAACTCGCCAGCATCTACCTCAGCATCATCGGCCTCTTCGAATCAAAAGCTGCTCCCTCTCTCGATGCGCTTAGATACTCTGCGAGCCCTCAAACGAAGAACCATACACGAGAATACTGCATCTCAAGTTCTTCGACGTTATACTGCTTGGAACTCTTCTTCTAGCGTGGGTAATCTGGCCACCAACGGGCTTCCACATCACTGGTGGTGTAGAGGCGCGTCTACCAAGATGACTTGAACACCCTCATTACATGGACGACCTCTCTCCGCCTCGATATCGACCCAGTCCTTCCCAGGCGCATCAGACAGCTTTGTCCAACATGTCATCCAATAACCCACATACTTCCGCATCCCCATCTCTTATGGTGTCCTCGGCCGGCCGAAGGAGCCGTCGTGCTTCAGTTAACTCGATCTCTGCCGCATCACACATAGATAGGGAACAGCTCGCCCAGACCTTGGACAAGATTCATTCCTCAGCTGCTCAGACCGACTCTTTGACAACGTTTAAGGACCTGTCACCGCCCCCGCCGAGCTCTCTCCCCGCTAGTGAGAGTAAAGGCCTAGCTGGCGACCTTGTTCAGGGTGGCTTCAGCGGCCTGTATAACCGGATTCGAGAGGCAGTGGGTGTCGCCGCACCCTCAAAGGCCCAGGAGACGCAACAGAATAACGATGAACATGGACGCACAAATGTACAAGGGGCCTCCAAACCGTCCACGGCGGCGTCGTTGTCGCGTGGCGAGGCGGGGGATTCTGCCACTGTCGTCTCGGACGGCCATAGTCCGACTCATCCGCCGCAGTCTTCCAGGGCGTCAACATCTACGGTGTCTGCTTTAACCGCCTCCCGAGCGGCAGGGTCAAACCGCCAAAGCCTGCAACCGATGGTACCAAAAGCCGCACCGACAGTGGCCGTCACCTCCGACCTGGCACCTCCAGCGATGCATCGAAACTCCAACCAAAGCCTCCCGCGCTCCGAAGATTCGTCAAGCCGCCGATCATCCGTCAGGGAAAGCGTCGGAGCCAACGACCCCCGTTCTGCCGTGGCCGTATCGGGAGATGCGAACATTCACGAAACGCGAGATTCCGACCTTGCTTCGGATCGGAGACTGAGCGCTTCCCGGTCACGACGAGGTGATGGCGCGAGCCTCCATGGTAGCACCGATGTGCCTCTCAGTCCGGCGAAGGATGGCACACCTTCCCTACCCCATCTACAGACCGACCTGGCGCAAAGACACGCGCGCACGCCTTCGGTTGTCTCCGGCAGTTCCTCCCTCTTCGCCGCTCGGCACCCCCCTGCAATCGATCGTCTGAGCAGATCACGGTCCCCGGCCTATCCTCACTCCAGGAATTCTTCTACCGATCGCCACACGGTCGAAATGAGCCCTATCAACGCCTCGTCTCAAACCCCCATATATCACGATTCGTATTTCTACGATGCTCAGTTTCACCAGATGAGATCTGGCGTCATGTCCATCCCCGACACGATCCAAGACGGAATGACGCCCGAAGAGCCGAATCGCAATTTGGAGGATCTGCGGAAGAAAATCCTGAGCAAGGAGTTCTGGATGGCCGATGAAACCTGCAAGGAATGCTTCTCTTGCGGCCAGCCATTCTCGACTTTCAGGAGAAAGCACCACTGTCGCGTGTGCGGCTTCATCTTCGATTCGAAATGCACCTCCATCATCCCCGCCCAAATGTTCGGCATGTCGGGCACCCTGAGGCTCTGTAAGCCCTGCCTGAAAGTCATCAACCAGCGGGCCGAGGGGATCGCCTCAGACGATTCTGAGGATGACTCTTTCTTGCCTGCCATATTCAGACCCAACCAGTCCAAAGCGCCCCCCAAGGTCACCGAGACGAATGCGAAAGGCGAGGAGATTAGCTACGTAGGGCGCATAGAGGATCTGGATGGTGCAAGGTCCGTCTCGACCCCAATGATGGCTATTCCGGCGACTCGGCGGATCGACGATTCCAACAGAAGGTCGGCTATTCTGGAGATCGACGCCCCGGAACTTAGCCGGCCGAGCTCGTCCCGTTCTCTCAAGTCCATGACCACGGGACGGCCCCATTCCGCTGGCCCCGGTCACAGGAGGCATCACTCGAAACACAACTTTTGGTCCAAGTTCAAACCGAACCCCGACGACAGTGCGCCCTTCCGGAAAGACATAAACGAAGAGATGGCCCTCAAGCCGCGATACACTGCCTTTCACGACGACAATATTATTGACCCGGACTTGGCCGCGTACATGTCTGACGAATCCAGCGGTGATGAGCAGATGAGCATCTCCGCCACCATGGCAACGAGTGACTTGCAACCGTCGAGCTTCGATCGCGACAAGAGCAATTTCGGTCCCTTCGCTGGTGCCGCTAGGAAGCTTCGTCTGCGCGGTATGGACGAAGCCCTGCCGGGTAGCCCCCTCGTTCATGCCCGGCCTGGGCGAAGACGAAATCTGAGCAACGTTGGTGGGAATAATATCCATCACATGCGCTCCCCCAGGCCCCGCTCTGGCGTGTTCAAGGGGTTCTCTGTGTCCAGCGACGGCATCTTTCAGCCGGATGGCGGTACGGCGGTCGAGGCCACCAAGCTGACGCGAAGCGACTCGATGCTGGAGAATAAGGAGCCGCAAATCGAGCTCAACTTGTCCAGCATGCTGCATGTGAAGAAGCTGCTTCACCAACTCCTGGAAGACTCCAGGATACCGAATGCGCACGCGTGGGAAAAGGCCCTCGCCCCCATACTGCTCCGGTGCACCGACGATGTCGTGCCCGACATCCGTGCCGGGGACGACATGGACATCCGACACTACGTTAAGCTGAAGAAAATCCCCGGGGGCAAGCCGGGAGACACCTGCTACGTGTCGGGCGTCATATTCACCAAGAACCTGGCCCTCAAGAGCATGCCCCGCCGAATCCTCGACCCTCGCATCGTGCTGGTATCTTTTCCCATCGAGTACCAGCGCCACCAGCAGCAGTTTATGAGCTTGCAGCCCGTCATCGACCAAGAGAAGGAGTTCTTACGGGTCGTCGTGAATCGGATCATCAACCTGCGCCCGCAAGTCCTGCTCTGCGAGAAGAGCGTCTCCGGCGTTGCCTTGCAGTATCTCTCCGAGGCCAACATAGCCGTGGCGTACAATGTGAAGCCGTCGGTCCTATCGGCCGTGTCGAGATGCGCCGAGGCAGATATCATTTCTTCGCTCGACCGTCTGGCCCTGCAAACCCAGGTCGGCAGGGCGGCAGGGTTCGAGGTCAAGACCTTCGTCAACAAGAACTATCCGGGCAAGAAGAAGACGTACATTTTCCTCTCGGGATGTGCGGAACAGCTCGGATGCACCATCGCCCTGCGCGGCGGCTCGACCGAGATTCTGGCCCGGATGAAGAGGATAACCGAGTTCATGGTGTATGTTGTGTATAATCTCAAGTTGGAGACTTGCTTGATGCGGGACGAGTTCATCCGACTGCCCTCGGAGGAGGAGCTTGCATCTTTGCAATCGTCAGGGCCTCTACAGACCGAGGCCAGCCTGAGGTCCGTCGCCGCAGTTTCCGCCGCCGAACCCAGCCAGACGGGGGCGTCCGTCTCGCAACCCTCGCCTTCGGAACCCGAGCCTCCCTCGCAGACTAGTCTCGATGTCTCGCAGAGCGGGACCACTGGCGGCCATTCACCCGAGCAGCCGGAAGATCAGCCCCCCGTCGAGTCTTCTTCGACAGTATCCTCCCTCCACGGGCCCCACGCCGCCGGTGCTTCGGTCGAGACACCCGTTCCGGAGGACGTACCGATGCCGACTTACTACAGCGACATGGTGGCGAGATATGAGACCAAGATCTTGTCCGCCTCTCCATTTGTCAAGTTTGCGCCGCCGTATCTCCTGATGAAGGCGCGAGAGCAAGAGCGGAAGTTGGTGTATCTCAAGCGCCTGCGAGACCAGGACGTCTTTGAGGAGCAGGCGGACCCGGAGAAGAGACCGCAACGGTTCCAGGTCATCAAGCCCGAGATGGTCCATGCCATCGGACAAAGGGCACCCCGGCAGATTATGGAAGTTCTCCACGCCGTCCACGACGCGGAGTACGACAAGGCGTTGCATACCTATCAGACCCAGACGAGACAGTGGGAGAACTACATCCAGGGCAACATCGACCTGTTCGATCCGTACTCGCATCAGAACATCGTCGTCCTCTACTCGGTCATCTGCACGGAAACCAAGATCCCCTGCGCCGAACCTGGTCTCATCGCCATCTCATTCTACGACGAACACGTCGATGCCCATGGCAGCATGGACCCGGATTGCACTCTGGGTCAGTACATCGAGGACCTGTGTCTGGGCAAAGATTCGATCTGCATGGCCAACGGCTGTGATCGGACCATGACGGAACATCACCGGACATATGTGCACGACCGAGCTCGCATCACCGTCTTCGCGGAGCCTGCCGCCACAGCTCCCAAGCACATCACGGAGGACATAACCATGTGGAGCTACTGCAAGGTGTGCAAGAAGGATTCCCCCACCATGCCCATGTCGGACAGCACTTGGAAGTACTCGTTCGGCAAATACTTGGAGCTGCTCTTTTGGTGCAAGGGGCTCAGGCTGCACGAGAGTACGGGTTGCCCGCACGATCATCGGGAGCAGATCAGACTCTTCCAGTTCCGCGACACGTGGATTCGAATTCACTACGACCCTATCGACCTCCTCGAGATCATCGTTCCTCGTGCGAGGATCACGTGGAAGGTGGACTATGACCTCAGATTGAAGAATGAGATGTTTACCAAGATCGAGACGCGTTGGGTCCGGTTCATGAGCTCTGTGAAAGTGAGGCTAAAGAGCATCCGTATCGACAGCGTCCTGCCGGAGAAGACGGATGCTTGCATGGCCGAAGTCGAGAGGCTCCTGAAGAAAGCCCAGGAAGACCAGGTGTCGTTGATCCGCCAGCTGCAGGACACGTACGTCAACTCGAAGTACTACGAGGTGATCCCCTTCAATGCCATCGTCAGGGAGATGCTCGAGAAGGCCGGGGAATGGGACGTCGCCTTCACGCAGTTTGAGGCCGACTTCCTGCCGGACAAGGACATAAGACAGTTGACCATGCTCCAACTCAAGAAGCTCTTCACGGACAACGAATCGAAGGATTCTCTTCCGACGACGGAGGGCAGCGCGTCGACGATCGACACGGGGGACACGGACGAAAAAATGGCTACGCAGCCAACGGATTGGAGCAATGCGAGCTTGGGCGGAAGCAGCGCCCCCTCGAGCAAGAGCGCCGAACAGGGCCAGGCGAAAGAAGACGACGTGGAGGTCGAGAAAACCTCGGCCGAGAGTACTTTGGAAAGGGTCGAGCCCCTGGACCTTGCTACGTCCGGTTCGCCGCCGAACATTAGTCCGAGTCCCTTCGGACCGCCGGTCAAGGTCGAGGGGGTTGGTGACAAGGAAGGCCAAGGCAAAGCGGACGTGGCCGGCGAGGAGGCCTCGGCGGATAGTCAAGCTCTCGTTCTCGCTTCCGCCGGCCGTCCCGTGGCCGAGGACGCTGCGGGTGCGGGTGCGGGGGAAATGACCCTATCCCAACGAATCGAGCAACTACGGCGTCAGCACCTCCTGGAAGGCAGCAAGGAGTCATCGCCTGCGCCTACACCTACACCTACACCGGGCCAGCAGCCGTCTCCCGCCCCCGAGACGCCAAGGCCGACGGTCCGTAGGGCGGGCCTAACCGTATCACCGCCGATGGTGCGGTCGGCGTCACATCCTGTGAGGACTCTGCAAAAGCCGCACCCCATCGACAAGGGCATCGCGACCCGAAATCTCAAGGCGGCGGGCCGTGAAGGCGGGGGCGAGGCTGCGGCGGCGGCGGTGGCGGTGGCAGAGGGGCCCCTCAGGGTGGAAAACAAGAGACTCTCGGAACGGCTCGGCCTCGGGGGCGGGAAAACGAAAACGCTGAGGAAAGCGCCGCCGCCGTCGTCTATTCCCCGATTAGTTCAGAAGAAGAAGGAGTCCAGGGTGTCGGCTATCGCCAAGCACTTTGAACAGCTGAGTCGCGAGTTTGAGAAGGAGAGGATGCGGGAGGATCGCAAAAAGCGCGCCGCACGACAGCCTCGGGCCTTCCTCCCGCGAACGTCCACAAATGCCATTGTCGAGGTGTACGACGACGTGGACGATGCTGTTCAAGAAGCAGGGCCGTCGGATGACGAGCCCGCAGGCGTGGCAGCAGCGGCGGCAACACGCGGGACAGCGGGGGAAGATGGCAGCAAGCTTGGGCCCCATTCCCAGCCGCCATCCGGGGCACAAACGGCTCCTGCGACGCCGGTGGCGGAGATGCAGTCGCTGTCCCCGGAGGCCCAGGCAGCGGGCGAGCCGCTTACGGCCGTGGCAGAGGAGGAGGAGCAGGAGGAGGAGGTGCCAACGCAAACAGGGGCCGAGGGCGAGGGCGAGGGCGAGGGCGAGGCGGACGACGCGGGCACGGTCAACACCAGCCAGGGAATCTTGTCTGACAACGAAGGCGGGGCGAGCGACCACGACGATATCCTGGAGGGCATATTACCGGACGCCGGGGAGCTGGCGGATGCTCTGGAACCGAGCGGGGAGATGGCACTGGACCTGGCCAAGCACCAGAAGAGGAGCTTGATGAAGTTCCTGAGCAACTTTTGGGCCGAGCGTTCGGCGAGCTGCTGGCCCCTTCTCGACTACCCGGGGAATCCCGGCGACCACATCTTCATCGACTCGGACGTGATCGTGCGAGAGGACGAGCCCAGCTCGGTGATTGCGTTTGCGCTGAACTCGGGCGACTACCAGTCCAAGCTGGCGGAGATCCGACGGCAGTGGCAGATTACGATCCAGAAGAACCTAGAGGCGAACCACAACAACCACGCGGGGGGCGCTGGCGCTGGGGCTGGCGCTGGGGCAGCGAGCGACTCGAACAAGTCGGACACGGACACGGGGACGGGGACGGGGACGGGGACGGGGACGGGCGGGGAGCCGACGGTGGACGAGGCGGAGCTGGAGAAGAGCCTGCTGCGGTCGACGGGGACGCACCTCAAGTGCCAGTTCAAGGAAGGGACGGCGACGATGCTGTGCAAGATCTTTTTCGCGGAGCAGTTCGACGCGCTGCGGCGCAAGTGCGGGGCGGCGGACCGGATCATCGAGTCGCTGTCGCGGTGCCTCAAGTGGGACTCCAAGGGCGGGAAGACCAAGTCGGTGTTCCTCAAGACGCTGGACGACCGGCTGGTGCTCAAGGCGCTGTCGCCGGTGGAGACGTCGGCGTTTGTGCGGTTCGCGCCGGCGTACTTTGGGATCATGGCCGAGGCGCTGTTCCACGACCTGCCGTCGGTGATTGCGAAGATGCTGGGGTTCTTCCAGATCATCATCAAGAACCCGGCGACGGGGGTGGAGATGAAGCTGGACCTGCTGCTGATGGAGAATTTGTTCTACGACCGGTCGCCGAGCCGCATCTTCGACCTCAAGGGGTCGATGCGGAACCGGCGGATCCAGTCGACGGGGGAGCAGAACGAGGTGCTGCTGGACGAGAACATGGTGGAGTTCATCTACGAGTCGCCGCTGTTCGCGCGGGAGCACTCGAAGAAGCTGCTGCGGGCGTCGGTGTGGAACGACACGCTGTTCCTGGCGCGGCAGAACGTGATGGACTACTCGCTGATGGTGGCGGTGGACGAGGGGCGGAGGGAGCTGGTGGTGGGGATCATCGACTGCATCCGCACGTATACGTGGGATAAGAAGCTGGAGAGCTGGATTAAGGATAGGGGGTTCGCGGGCGGGGGCCGGAACCGACCGACTGTGACGAGTCCGAAGGAGTATAAGAGTCGGTTCCGGGAGGCCATGGCGAGGTGTGTTCCCCTCTCCCCCCCTTTTCCCCTTTCTTCCCCTTTTCCCCCTTTTCCCCCTTTCTTCCCCCTTTTCCTCCTTCTCCCGTCTTGTCATTACTGTTCTCAACCACTTCTTTCTCGTCCCTTATTTTCCGCTACCCAACCATCTAACACAACTTCTAGGTACATCCTCCAATCGCCTAATTGCTGGCATCAGTTCCCTTCTCCTCACATGTCCAACTCGTCTCGGCTACGAATGGAAGAGGAGTAGAGAGAGACGACTCGAGGCCTTTGTGAAAGACGGAGGAATGGCCTACATTTTCAGGGGAGCGGATAGGATATTACAACTAATCAAGATTAACTGGACTCGGGGGGAAGGCAACAAAGCTTTCTTGTGTAATGCTATAGAGCGGGAGTATTATATTATATATATATAGCTGGACAGCACGGTGTAGTTTGGTGTAACGGTTGCTTAACTTCTTATGCCGAAACAGATGGCATCCTGGGTTATTCTTGGGTTATTCGGCCCTACGCTGCCGGCTCTGCCGAATTCTATATAATCAAAAAGAGTCGTGATGGGTTGCATACGTATAGCCAACAGCGACCTTGGGATTCCCGGGTCATGTCAGAGTATGTGATCGGTCTGCTTCAGTTGTTGGCTGGTTTGACGTTTCCTTTAAGGCCTTACACTGAGGATAAGGCGGGTTGGTGTCTGCGAAGCCGTGGCCCAGAAAGAAGGTCGACGGTTGAGGGTCGAGTTGACAGCAACAGAGCAACTCACCGGAAGCTTCCTTTTACCAAACATTTTATATGCAGTTATATTCCTTTTTTTTATTTTAAGAAAAATCCATAGAGAAAAAAAGACAGAGACGTCCCATGTCATTCTGGCTCACCTCGGTCAGCTTCACCTCGGTGAGTCTGCGATCCACCATCCCTTGACCGAGACCCACAAAACCTTCACTCACCTTAACCTCGAGACTTCATCAGTACGTACCTTAATTCACGTCTTTACTTCTCACATCTTTATTCACTCCCACCCCCTACCTGTTCACCTCGGATCCTTCAAAACCAAAACCTCTCGAAAAGTATATCCGAATTGTTCCCACATGAATCGAAAGGTATCTGGACAGCAACAAGTGTCAAAAAGCATCTTCAATGTCGGTAGATCTCAACTGGGAAGCCCTCACCTCGGGTCCAGATGGCGACGCGCTCGCCCTGAAGATTCGCGATTTCATCCACGCCAAGTTTCAGACGGTGCCTCTACCGCGCTTCATTAAATCTGTCAAGGTACACGACTTTGAGTTTGGCGTAATCCCGCCGCGTCTAGAGTTGAAGGATATTACGGATCCCCTCCCGGACTTTTACGAGGAGAACGAGGAGTATGAGGAGGAGGAGGAGGAGGAGGAGGAAGAAGAAGAAGAAGAAGACGAACAACCCCAACAACCACAACAACGACCGCAGCACCATCGTCAGCGCTCTCGCCATAGAGATCCGGTCAGACCCTCTTTCAGGATACATGCCGCCCACCACACCGGCTCCTACTCTCCCATTCGCGGACAGACCGCCGCAGGCGACTTGACGGCCTCCTCCCTGCTGGGAGTCTCAACCCCCGGCATCCTCGGAGGCGCATCCAATCTCCACTACTTCCAAACCCACCTCGCCGGTCCAGCCTGGTCAGGCACGCAGACCCCACTAGCCGCCGTGGCGGGGGCACACCATTTGGGAGGAGCCACCGGATCCGCCATCTGGGCCGGGGGGGGCGCAGCCGCCTCCGCCCCGTCGTCGCCGGCTCGCAGCCCCGGGACGCCGAGTCACAGCCGCCAAGCCTCGCAAAGCTCCATCTCCCTCGGCGGCGACTTTCATACCGGCAGCAGCAGCAGCAACTCCGGCTTATTTCCTCCATCGTCTCGGCAGCTGCGCGAAAAGTCGAGCGTGTCGACCCTTGCCCCGACGTCCGTGAATACCTCCCGCCCCCCGACGAGGGATACAGCGCACCTTGCCGCCGCGGCTGCGAAAGCCGCTTCCGCCATCGCGGAAGATGAATCCGACTACGACGACGACGCAGGAAGGACGACGAAGAGGAGGAGGGGGAGGAGGAGGAGCAGCATCAGACGAGGCAGCAGCGGAGGGCAGAAGGCGCAGCAGCAGCAGCAGCCTCCTCCTCCTCCTCCTACGACCAGGACGACAGGCACGCAGAGCGACGACCCCAACCACCCCGGCCCCGGCCCGAAGCAGAGGGAACCCCGCCCGGAAGACCTCCAGGCCGTCTTCCGCATCCGCTACGCCGGCGACATCCGCCTGCGCCTGACGGCCGAGATCCTCCTCGACTACCCGATGCCCAGCTTCGTCGGCATCCCCGTCCAGCTGAGCGTCACGGGCTTGACCTTCGACGGCGTCGGCGTGCTGGCCCACCTCCGCCGACGGGTGCATTTTTGCTTCCTCAGCCCCGAGGACGCCGTGGCGGCCGTGGGCGGCGGTCCGGGGGCCGATGACGACGACGACGACGACGATGACCATGTTGGCGAGGACGAGGGCGGGGGCGATGACCCCGATCCCGCTGCTGGAGCGACGCAGCGGGGCGGTAGGGGCGGCAGAGGGGGGAGGCGGTTCGCGGGGTTGCTGCAGGAGATTCGGGTCGAGAGCGAGATTGGGCTGCGGGATGGCGGCAAGCAGAGCCTGAAGAACGTGGGCAAGGTGGAGAGGTTCGTGCTGGAGCAGGTCAGGAGGATATTTGAGAATGAGTTTGTCTATCCCAGTTTCTGGACCTTTTTAGTCTAAGGCAGAGAGAGCATAGCACATTTTTACTACACAATATTCCAATTCACGACAAAGTACTCTTGAACCCTTGATACGCCTGCTGAATGTCAAGGTCCAGCTCGCGCGCCTGCTCCTCCGACAACTCATCCGTAGCCTTCATCTGGTTCAGCGTGATGAGCCACTGGACAATCTTGCCACGGTTCGCAAAGTCGCGGTCCGTCACCTTGTTGACCGACTGGATCACGTCCGTGAGGAGGGGGTGCAACTGGTCTTTAGAGAGCAATCCCAGCTTGATGGCATCGAGGAAGGTGATGAACTCTTGCGTCGCTTCGAGAATCAAAGTGCCGCTTGTCGTCGTGCCGCCACCGCCACCGCCGCCTCCGCCCCCGCCCCCACCGGGGGTAGCCGAGGAGCCCGAGAGATTTCCGGAAGGGGTTGTCATGACTGCTGTGGCGGGCATGCCGACTCGGATGCGTTCTGTTGCGCGGGGGACTTCGAGCTAGAAGGTCGAGAGAGGGGGAGTGAGCGTATGAAAGGTAGGGGCAGAAGGGCAGAAGGAATGCGAAGGGGCAAGGGAGACGAAAGGCCAAACGTACATCCCATTCCGACTTGAACTGTTCCAAGCTACCGAAGGCCTTGGACACCGTTTCATCGGTGAGTATGGACTTGTATTGCTTCAAGGATCGTTCGCAAATCTCCGTATAGTCGGCTTCGGGGATGGCATCTTTAAGGAACGCCTTTTCGAGCTCGTCGAGGGTGACGATGATGCTAAACAGTTCGGCTAGTGAATCTTGGAGGTCTCGTTCCGCCCGTGTCTCTGCAAGCTTGACTTCCTGCGGAGCAGAGAGCCCGTTAGTTCATTAAAACACACTGCCAAGATGGAGCAAAAGGACAATTGACTTGCTTCATCGAGGTTGATGGTGGCGGATAATGTCGTGTTGGGAACATAGCTATGCGGCGTCGGCGCATAGGGCTGCCGGGGCATCATCTTGGTATTTGTTCTCGTTCTATTTTGCCCTCGAATGGCTTCATTGTTGGGGGATACTGGGTGATTGAGAGGAGGCAGAGAGAGGGAGAGAGAGAGAGAGAGAGAGAGAGAGGTGGAGGAGGGAGCTCTCGGTCAACAGCAAGTACAACGTAGAAGTTCCCTATCGATCTCGGTGAAGGAGCAACGTCAGTCACGCGGGGCAGAATCTCACTCAACTCACCCCCACACAAGGTACCTTACCTTAGGTACACACCGCTCGAGAATCCCCACTCCATCCACTATCTTATCGATACGACAAAAACTGAGGTGATAAGGAAGGTAAGGTACGTACCTCACCTGCAAAAAAATTCAGAGTTCCTCCAGTTCCGATTTCTCGCCTTTCTTCTTGTCCATCATCTCGAGACGCGAACGACCAACGCAAAGCAAACAAATTTGACAGCAGCGCAAGTACACAAACTTGCTGCGCTCCCGTCGCCCAAGATGCCTCCCACCAAGAAAAACCTCAAAGCTACGAAAAAGTTCGAGAAGAACCATCTAACCAAGACCCTCGACAAGCGGAAGCAAGGCGTCAAGGTCAAGCAACGCCTCCAAATCAAAGCGAAGAAGCAGTCGAAACGGGCCAAGGATGCTGCCTTTTACAAGGGCGAGCAAGAGGACAATGCGTCCAAGGATACGACCAAGAAGGACGCCAAGGTCAGCCAAATGAGCGTCGACGACTTTTTCAAAGGCGGATTCGAGATGATCGGCAAGGGGAATGCAAAGTCCAAGGGCCAGGCGACACAAGCACAGCAGGCGAAAAAGTCCGGCAAACTGGGCAAACGGAAACGAGATGCGCCAGCTTCCGACCATGAAGACGCCGCCGAGGACTCTGCCGACGACGACAGCATGTCGGATATGTCGGTGGAGGAACAACTCGTCCCGAGCGACAGCGACGAAGACGACGACGACGATGCCGGTAGCGATGCCGATGACGACGCCGGCATGAGCAAGAAGGCCATGCAAGAGCTCGCCGAGAAAGACCCCGCCTTCTTCAAGTTCCTCAGGGAGCACGACCCCGAAGCTCTCGACTTTGACGAGAACGCCGATCTGGCCGAGGTCGACGCACTCAGCGGTGGCAGCGACGACGAAGCCTCCTCAGACGACGACGACGACGACGACGAGCAACCCAAGAAGAAGCGAAAGAAGGAAAACGCCAAAAAGAAACAAAAAGTCGACGAAAGTGCCGCCCCCGATAACGAACTCACCAGGAAAATGGTGGCCAAGTGGAAGGCGTCCATGGAGGAAAAGAAGTCGCTGCGCGCAGCGAGACAGGTCGTCCTGGCCTTCCGGTGCGCCGCTCACCTGAACGAGGACGACCCCGAGAACGCCACGAGCGCTCGCTACACCATCAACAGCCCCCAGGTCTTCCACGACATCCTCATCACCGCGCTGAATCTCGTCCCCGAAGTCATCGCCAGCCACCTGCCCGCCAAGCAGTCCGCCTCGGGCAAGGTCTACGTCTCGACCGACACCAAGAAGTTCCAGACCCTGTCCATCATGATCAAGACCTACACCGCCACCGTCATCCACCTGCTCGGCACCCTCTCGGACGACGCCACCCTCAAGCTCACCATCAGCTCCCTGGAGCCCCTCCTCCCCTTCCTGCTCTCGTTCCGCAAGCTGCTCAAGGTCCTCGTCAAGACCGTCGTCAGCTACTGGGCCCGCCCCGCCAGCTCCGAGACCACCAAGATCACCGCCTTCCTCGTCCTCCGCCGGCTTATCGTCATCGGCGACGCCGGCCTCCGCGAGACCACCCTCAAGGCCATCTACCAGGGCTTCGTCCAGAGCGCCCGCGTCACCAACCACAACACCCTACCGGGCATCAACCTGATGAAGAACTCGGCCGCCGAGCTCTGGGGCATGGACCAGGGCGTCGGCTACACCACCGCCTTCACCTTCATCCGCCAGCTGGCCATCCACCTCCGCAACAGCATCGTCCACAACAAGGACGCCGCCTTCCGCATCGTCTACAACTGGCAGTACACCCACTCGCTCGACTTTTGGTCCACCGTCCTCGCGGAGCACTGCAGCGCCGCCCGCATCGCCGAGGCCGGCAAGGAATCCCAGCTCAAGCTGCTCATCTACCCGCTGGTCCAGGTCACCCTCGGCGCCGCCCGCCTCATCCCCACCGCCACCTACTTCCCGCTCCGCTTCCACCTGCTCCGCGCCCTCCTCCGCCTCTCCCGCGCCACCGGCACCTACATCCCCCTCGCGCCCCTGCTCCTCGAGGTCCTCGATTCGGCCGAGCTCCGCCGCGCCCCGAAACCCGCCTCCCTCAAGCCCCTCGACTTCCGCGCCGCCTACAAGGCCCCCAAGGCCTACCTCCGCACCCGCGTCTACCAGGACGGCGTGGGCGAGCAGGTCGCCGAGCTGCTGGCCGAGTTCTTCGCCGTGTGGTGCAAGAACATCGCCTTCCCCGAGATGGCCCTCCCCGTCACCATCCTCCTCAAGCGGTGGTTGAAGCGCGTGCGACGGGGCGAGACTCGCGGGCCCCCGTCTAAGAACGATGGCAAAGGAAAAGGAAGGGGCAAGGGCAAGGGCAAGGGCAAGGGCAAGAGTGATAAGAGCGGCGGCGGCAACCGCAACGCCAAGGTGTCGGGCGCCATCGTCCTGGTGGTGCAGAAGCTCGAGGCCAACGCGGCCTTCATCGAGGAGAAGCGGTCCAAGGTCGACTTTGCGCCCAAAGATCGCACCCAGGTGGAGGCTTTTCTGCGGGACTTTGACTGGGAGAAGACGCCGCTGGGTGCCTATGTCGTGGCGCAGCGCAAGTTGCGCGCCGAGAAGCTCAAGATGATGGAGGACGCTAGGAGAGAGGATGACCGGCGGAGACGTGAGGAGGAAGGCGGGGATATCGAGTTTCAGGACGAAGAAGACGACGCAGGAGAAGAGATAAACGGAGCAGAAGAGGACGAGGAGGAGGATGACGACGGGTTCGATGACGACGAGCTCGAGGACAACGATGACGATGACGACGAGGCGGAGGATGGGGCTGAGGAGACAGACGAGGAGAGCGACTAGTTGTTTTTCCTCTCCTCGAAAAAAGTGTATCTAGACCTGCCATCGTCTTTGTTGCGTCCGGGTTGTTCTAATGGTATATACCGCTGGCGTTGCTTTGTCCGGCTCTGGTGTCTTTCCTTCTAGTTTCTTTACTTTCCGTCCTCCTGAGATGAAGCATGCCGCCCTCAACAATCGTTCAACAATCATTATCCATCATGACGATCCCCTGATAGCTACCGTCATCCGACTCTACGTCAAACTCCCGCTGCTGCTTCGGCCGCTCCGGTAACCGCCAGCTATCAGATCGGACATTTGTCTGCCCATGTCGCTGAGCAGGCGAAGTCTTCTCTTCGGCCCCTGGTGAACTTGAGGCCCCGGTTTTCTTCCCCAGCGAGCCCAGATCAAGCGGGTCGTTCCCCCGAGAAGAAGCCCAAGGAGGTGTTTCCGGCTGCTTGGGGGTGGTCGCAGCCGAATGAGAACGAGATGGCCTCTCATCTACCGAGGTATGCACATTACTACTGCCCGTCGCCCGCCGCGGTGGCAGGGTGGGGGGCGACGACGGCCCGTCACCTTGAACAATGCCACCACTAGACACTCCGCTTCCGGTATCTCCTTTCACAGCTCGAGCCTCGCGGGGGAAATCGTCCCGCGACTCCCGTTCGGCGCGGTCGAGGTCCTCGTCCCGCTCGATGGCCTCCTCCCCTCCTTTCACATCCGGGAACCCGCACCGCGTGAGGATCTGGGCGATGAGGTGCGGGTAGCGCAGGTGGCCGGCGACCTCCCGGCTCAGGTCGAGGTTCTCGATGCCGTGGACGTCGGTGATGGGCTGCAAGCCTGCAATGCCGAGCTGCAGGGAAGTGGTGCGGTAGAGAAAGCCGAGGATGTAGTCGTTCTCGGAGTAGACGTTGAAGATGCGGCCGGCGACGACGGAGCGGAGAACGTGCCAGTGGGCCGTGCTGGAGGGCGCTGGGGCGCCGATGAGGACGACGGTGTCGACGAGTCCGAAGGCGCGGCGGTCGGCGAGGGTGCGCAGGCAGGAGTAGATGGCGCGCGCGCCGAGGGAGTATCCAATCAGGGTGACGGGACGCTCGCCCTGGGCGCGGTTGATGAGGGCGTCGGCGAGGACGTGGCCGGCCTTCTCGGAGCGGTTGCGGGCCAGGCTGAAGGGGTTGTCGATGTTGGAGGCGGCGCCGAGGAGGTAAGCGGGCCAGAGAACAGCGCGGAGGGAGGCGAGGACGGTGTTTTTGAGGATTTCCAGCTTGATGTACCTCCAGGCATATGAGGTGACCAGCTCCTCGAGGGAGGTCCCGAGGGCAAGCAAGGCGTCCATCTCGTATCGCAGGGCGAACACCTCGGATTCGTCGCCAAGGACGCGCCAGGGCTTGGTGACATCGGCTTCCTCTCGGAGCCAGCCGTTGACGCCCACGGTCACCCTGAGCCGGCGATGCTCCTGGTTCTCGGCAGCATCATTTGTTCTTGTCTTTGTCCTCGCCGACGCACGGACGGCGGGCTTCTCGTCCCGGAGCGGAAGAAAACGAAAGTCGTTCACCTCCCGGGCGTAGGCGTCCATCATCTCACCCGTCATTTTAGCACCAAAGGCTCCAAATAGCGTGCCTACCAGGGCACCATTGGCCCAGAAGATACCGAGAAAGGAGGCCACACCGCCGAGGCCGAGGCTGCCCATGATACCGCCGATGGCGCCGGCGACGACGGGGGCGGCTAGGCCTCCAGTGACGCCGATGACGGCGGCACCGGCCACAGAAGCGAGGCCAACCTTCCAGAAGCGGGATGTCTGGTTCTCCTGGCGACGCCTGGCGACTTCTGCCTCGCCGGACATTGCATCGGGAGAGGGGGAGGCGCTGTGCTTCCTGTTCCCCGAGCCGTCATTATTATCATTGGCGGCCGAGGACTGCAGCATGAGGTACTTGGCAATCTCGGTCTCCTCGGCGATCAAGAGGGCCAGAGGCAGTTCGAGGGACGAAGCGAGATAGAGGGCAAGGACACGTGAGTGAGCGGCATAGTGGCCGGTGGAGAGGATGACGAGCAGCACGCAGCTGAGGACCTCACGCCTGTCCTGTACAGGAATGGTGGTGAGGCGAGTGGGCACCGGGGGATAATGCTGGCGCAGGACGGAAACATCTTTGGCGTTGGACGTATCCGAGTTCTCGGTCGTCCCAAAGCTGAGGAGGTCTTCTTCTTTTTCTCCTTCTTCTTCTTCTTCTTGGGACCCGAGCTTGAGCTTGGCTACTTCCTCCTGGCGTTTTTTCCGGGCTTCCAGGATCTTATTGTCCTCGGCAGCGGAGACGATGTCCTTGAGCTTCTTCAGGACTTCTCTCCGCCAGTCGTCGAAGTGGTTCAGTGCATCTTGCCTGAGGTCGATCAGTTCAGCATTGGGCGGATCAAGACGTTTTCCGAGCTGCAGCTGAGATCGCATAGCATCTATAATGTCTTGAATGAGAATGTACAGAGCCTTTCTCCTGGCCTGGTTAAGGACGACGAGGATCTGACGAGGGTCGGCCGCCAGTGGTGCCATGATGGATGTGACTGAGACGTTTCCTCATTGACTGTCGAGGCTTACGAGATGTACGAAACACTTCCCTTTTTCTTCGTCTCTGCAACTCCAGAGTTGAATGAAGATGCTTTAGGGAGGAAAGGCTCGAAGGTGTATAGTTTGATATTGAATAGGTCTAAAGGAGGAAGATGATGATGATGATGATGGATGAGGGGATGTTTTGACGTTCTCAGCCTGGAAGGCAGGAGGAAGCAAACAAGATACCTGAAGGTTGTACTCTGGCTGTACAGTGGTACCTGAACTACCTTACCTTATTCATCGCCCCCAGAGGGCCTAGAAGAACCACATGCACTTCGTACCAGGTACCGGGACGGATAATAAAGTCGGATGTCTCCGAGAAAATTCAGATGATCTACAGGAGTACAGGGGTACAAGGGGAGACTTTGAGCAAACAACGGCTACCTTACCTTACCTTATACTTCGTACGATACCTATGCGAATTGAAAGGCAACCGTCTGAATATTTATCGGCAGCAATGGCCAAGTAATTCCACAGCCAAGCAACAAGGCAGGCACATGCTCCGTGCGCTGACGGGGGAAAAGTTCCTTGACCGAGATCCCTTGCGCCCCAAGGAATCAAAGAAAGGAAAAAAAAAAAATTGTTCGGAGTAACACCATTCCAGACCGGGTGATTGGCTAAAGTCGATCGACAGGCATTGCCTTTCTTTAATATCTGTATAGAGTACATATACTTCATACCGACATGAAGATTGATAAACCGACAGCCAATGGATGCTGATGGAAGCGAAGGAGCAAGTGGCCCCTGAGCACGACCCTTGTTGATCTTGCTGCCTTTCTCTTGTATTTCCATTTTATCCCTCCACATTCTCACAACTTTCTCCCGACGTAATTATTACTGGGTAATAAGCAGTCGAAGTTGTCGACCGACAAAGAGATGTTCCCAACATCCTTGGCCAGGTCCTGTATGAAGTACCTACGTTGTACGGGTCCTCCTCCACCTGAATTAAGGTAGCACTTCCCTACCTTATTTTAGGTCTGGGAGAGACGTCCTAAGCCAAGGCCCCGAACAAGGTACAGAGTACTTCGTACTTACGCTATACGTGTACAAGCCAGGAAGCTGCGCCTGGAGGGCAGGTGTACAAGGTACGACTTCATGTTACGAACCTGGCGGCTGCCTGGTAAGGTAATCAATACTGCATTATTCTGAGTAAGGCAGTCTGTCGGGAAGAAAAATCCCTCCACATACTTCGGAAGCATCGTAACCATCCAAATTCTACTTCGTGATTGATTACTCCGTACCTACCTTACCTTCTCGGTGCTTCTGTGTCGTGTACGTTGTACGGGACTTACCGACTTCGGAGTGCATACCTGATACGACGTAGAATACCTTACCGTAGGTGCCGGAAAGTCCTGCGAATATTGTCCTGTCGACCTGGAAAGATTTTGTTGTCGACGGTCGTATGAGTTTGTATCGGGTACGCATAAAGTCCAGAATCCTTTGGCCAAGTGGAGTTGACGCGTTCCAACACCCGCCGAAAGCAAGGGCGTTTCCTAGGTAGGGCGACCATTAATAGCGCTGAGCCTGGGTCCCGGCTCTCCAGGAGGAGTCCCCGAGACGGCCAGCGCGTACCTCAACGACCGGAGTGGATGTACCTGGTACTTAGGACCCTTGCTCCCCCACCCACCCATCCATGTTTCCGGAGTTACCCCTAAAGTGGCCTCCAGTACGAAGTACTTCGCACGAAGGAGTCACGGGGAAATCTCCATGGCCTCCAGAAGCGTCCCCATGCCTCGTTGGTTCACAGCCTGCCTTGCCTGCCTACCATATTCCCCTACGAAGTATTACCTATCCATCTGTATTCTGTACTCTGTATTCTGTATTCTACTCCCTTCCAAACCTCCCACCCCCGGGCACTCGACGCCAAACACCGAAACACAAAAGCAAAAGCCTCGCCTCCTTCGAATACGTCGCTACTCCCCTTCCCTCCCTTTCTTCCTATTCCCCCCTCTCCTCTCCTTGGGATTCCTCCCTTCCACCCTATTCTCCCTTCTCTCCCCCCTTTTCCGCCTCACTATTTCAGAGCCTAATCCGTAACGTCCCTGCTCTTACCTCGGAGCAAAACCGAACGGAAACGCCATTTGGGCACAGTTTGGGCCCTTGTACGACAACTTGTCTCAGGAGACACCACAGCTTCCGCAGCCACCTGACGACGACTCTCTGCTCTCCCCAAAGCTGCCCGACAGAAATACGGATAGCAATCAACCCAAAAAGCGAACGAAAGGGTTGGTTGAGGAGAAACAATGAAAGCCAAGCCCGTCGAGCAACTCGTTTACGAGTACATTTTCCCCAAGCCTCGTGCCAGCGATCCTCCCAACTTCCATGCCTTCCTCGAACGGAATTTGATCATCGAGGTCCGCTCCGAGGTCCATGCCTTCTACGGCCACCTCGACACCCAAGAGGCCAAGTACCCCGGCCTCGACTACTGCCATCCCATCCATCGCGTCCGCCTGGGTCGCTGGCCCTGGCACCGCCGTCTGTTCCGCGCCTTCGACCACCTGCGCCTTACCCCCCACGAGATAGCCAACCTCACCAAATGGGAAGGCACCAAATGGGCCAAGGAGCGTTACGAGAAGGAACAGGGCATCACCATCCGCGACACCGCCGGCGACGACATTGCCGAGTGGGTTGAGCCAGAGGACCGACCTGCCGCCACCACCACCACCTCGCGCAGGGGCCTGTCAGCCGAAACCGAAGCCGACGTGAACCCCGCCTCGGACGACGAAGAAATGAACGAAGACGAGACCGAAGACGAGGACGAGGAGCGGGAAGAAGACGAAGAGATGGTGAGCGTCGGGACCGCGCTGAACGAGAGGCTGAGGGAACGCGTCGCCCGCCGGGAAGCCGGCGACACGACCACCGTCCTAGACGAGGAGTGGGAGCAGTGGCTCAAGAACGCCATCGAGTCGGGCGAGTTTCCCTTCACCGCCAGCCAGATCCTGCAGCAGTCGAGCACGAGCCACCCCGCCGTCTTCCCGCAAGCCCTCCTACCCACGCGTATGCTCGATGCCGCCCGCGCCGGCCAGTGGAGCGAAGTCCCCGAAGTCCTCCACGAGATCATCCGCCACTCCCTCATCCACCACTCCGAAGAAGACGCTACCGCCGCCGCCGCCGCCGCCGCTTCTGCCGATATGCCGCCTCTGACGCGCGCCCCGCGCCGCCCCAACGACGAACCGCAGTCGCAGTCGCAGTCGCAGACGCAGACGCAGACGCAGACGCAGTCGCAACAAACTACCATCACCATCACCACCTGGCGGCCCACCTACTCCGAGCTGCGCCTGCCGGGCCGCGACACCACCGTTCATCCCGCCTCGGAGCTGAGAATTCACCGGACTGCCCCGGCTCCTGGAGCATAGCAGCCGCCCGAGGGGGGATGTGGCGGATGAAGACCATCCGCCAGCCACGACTACGTGATTACCCCGCCCTTTGCTGTTCATCATAGACCGCCTTGACGCGCCGAATCCTCTTCCGACCTAGAACTATTCGACATGCCAAATTCGAACCTTTCTCACTTTCCATCACCGTTAGAATCGCACGATATCCCGCTAGATGATAGATCTCATCGGCACACTTACTTGCACATATACGGAGAGACGAAGAAGAAAAAAATGCGAACCAAGGCGTCCCTTTTTTTTTTTTATCTTCCCCTTCATTTCCCTCGTTTTTGCAGTCTTCATTCCTCTCTCACACACACCCAACCCCGGCGGCGTTTTACGGTTTTGTTTAGTTCCCCCTGATAGGAGGAGGAAAGGAAATGGGGAAAGGATGGGTACGTTGGTTTTTGTTTAGTCTGGAGTAGTCCTGGGTTGACGAGGAACACGATCGATGAAATTTTTTTTTCTTTTTTTTCTTTTGCTTCGAAGAAATCGAATGACGAGGAAGCTATTTTCTTGTCCTTCTCCTAGTTATTTTAGTCGTCCCGGTTCCGGCGTGTTCTTTTGTTTCTCTGTTCCTCAACTATTTAACATATCGAAAGCCGTATGAAACCCATGCCAGCCTTGGAATCTTTGCTGTCAACTCTTCGGCCGCTTTACGATCCGGTGAAAATGTGATGATCATAATGTGCACATTGACATGACGCACCAATAATGCTCCGGGAGGCTTTGCATACGACGACAAATTCCGTCGTCTTGAGACATTCCTGAATTGAGGGTATCTGCCGTTCCGAAACCCAACTCCGTCTGAAGTCACCTGTGTCCTCCCCCGTTCCGATGGTACCCGCAGCCGTGGGATGGAAAATCGTTACGGACAGAGACGATTTCCGCACAGCATCCATCTTGGTGAAGAAAAGGAGGAAAAAACACTCCTATGCCGGCCGAAAAGACAAGACCGAAAACTCCCCGTCTGACCTATCCGAGGACCCATGTACTCCGTTCATCTCCTCGGTATGACTGATTCCTACCGAGCCTGACCATGTAACGCCAGGTATATTACAGTTAAAGAAAAAGAAAGGAGAGGAAAAAAGAAATAAGAAGTAGGCATGCCAACTCATACAGACATTATTACGTCTTGCTGGCAATCCTAATGCCTGGAACCCACGCAGGGAAGGGGAAAAGTCGCCGGCTTGTCAGCCCGTGAAAGAATCCCACCCTCAGCTCAGTCCGCTTTATTAGACGATGAGGGAGCGTAAGACTCATTGCTGTCATCCGTCGAGGAAACTCTGTCGCTCGACAGGCTGGTTAAAGGCGTCGAGCCACCACTGCCAGTAGTAGCAGAGGAATTGAAGTCCGTGACTTGACTGTATACCCCAGAAGAACTGGGATCAGTCGTCGGGGACACCGTAAGCCCCTGGAAGCTCGGGATGGGATTAGGGACAGGCGTGTCTGAAACAGCGGGGAATCCGTCAGGAGGTGCACCGGCGGTGTGTATCACGAACTCGGAGAGCTGCGAACCCATGGAACTCTCGCGCCTTGCACGGATGCGGCTGCGGGTGGCAACGCGGGCTTCGTCCTGGTGCTCCCGTAGTATGTCCTGCTGCTCGCGCATCTGCGCAACGAGCGCCGGGGAGACCGCGGTGAGCGGCCTGCCGACGCGGGGCCGACCTGGACCTGCACCTGGACCTGCACCTGGACCTGGGCGGTTGACGCCGTTGGAGCGCTTCTAAGGCTCCAAGTGGGACCACTCGGGGATGGATTTGATCTGCTGCCACATGAACTTCTCCAGCTTGTTGGCCGATTTGGCGTACGGCGTGCTCTCGTTGTTGTACTTCCGGCAGTTGTCGAAGACGAGCTTCGCGTCGCGGATGAAGTCCTCCGGGGTGGCGTACTGGTCGGCCTCGAGCTTGGACTCCATCGTGCTGAGGTCCATGGGTTCCTTGATGACGTCGTAGTAGTCTGCCACGTCGTCCTTGTTCACGGGGACGAGGAAAGGCCAGGCGGATTGGTGGTTCTGGAGATCGTTGAGCAGGTGGAGGAGTTGATTGTAGTTAGGGCCGTGGCGGGGCTGTCGGGCGAGCTCGTCCATGTCTGGAGACCAGCCCGAAGCTCGGATCGCGGGGATAGAGAGGGGATCGATCGGCTTAGCACCAGTCTTCCACTCCCTGGGCGGGGCGTGGACCATGTGAGACTTGGAGAAGGCCCGGATCTTAGCTTGGACGCACTCTTTCTGCTTGAGCAGCATGCGGCCCATCTCGAGATAACGGATACGTGGGAGCATAGAACACTGCATGATCGTGCCACCCTCATAATCCTTGATGTAGCCCATCCAGACCGACCGCGGCAGGGTGATTTCCTTGGTGAACCCCTGCTTCTTGAAATAACCGATGGCGTAGTTGTCTGCATACGTGAGGAAATGCATGACGTCGCTCGTCGCCTTTACGTAGTCCTTGAGATGGGACATGAGATGTGCGCCGTAGCCCTTAACCTGCTGGTCGCTGGAAATGGCGCAGAATACAATCTCCGCAAACTGGCGTCCCTTAAAGGGTCGGTAGGTAATCCCTCCCACGACCTCAAGAGGCTTCTTGACAATAGCAATGGAAAGATGGGTGCGATCGTAGACGAGCCGAGCAATATAGTCCTTGGGCATCTTCGGGAGCTGCTTCTGGAAGATGCATTTGAGGCCGGTGAGGATAATGAGCGACTCGCGCTCATTGTCGTTGTTGACGACTCGGAACTCGATTTCGCCATCGCGTTCTTCGATGACGGCGGGCTATTCAGAGTGGATTATCAAAAGTTAGCCAGCTTGCATATGCAGAGAGTGAAGTGAGTCGACGTAGTAGGTACTGAGAAACGGGAAACAGATGAAGAAGAAAAGAAGAAAAACGAGTTTCAAGATGTAGAGGGGTAGATAAAAGCAACCTTCTCAGGGAACGGGATGCGCTTCAAGGGTTGTTGCTCCTGATTTTTCGATTCGGGCTCAGTCGAATCGCTGCGCTTGACTCGTTTCGTCTCCGACGGCGAGGTGGGTTCCTCTGATGCCTTGCGCTTCGCGTCTGAACGAACATGGTTAATCAATCAGCCACCAAGGCTCCAGTACGTCCAAAGGGAGGAATAAGATCATCTTCTTCGGGCCATGAGAATGGAAGACATACTTTGTTGTGTCATTTTGACAGCCGATTCAACCTCGAAGGTGAAAATAGGAGAATCGCAAACGTTATCGTCGGATGGCTTTCGGTCGTTGTCGCAAGACGAGCTGGACCGATGGTCGGCTCGGTCTTTCGTGGCGAATCCGTAGGCGGCGCCAGTATCGTCCAGGGAGTCTTCTTGAAAGGTCGTTCTGTTGTTTTCGTCGGTTGATTCGACGCGGTCGGAAAGTTCGTCGCAAAACACCGGGGAGGCGAAGCGGACGCGCTTCGCAGATTGACGCGATGTAGATTGGTCTTCTTCCGTGATGATGGTGTCTCCTGCAGGTGGATCACCAGCGTCGTCATCACGAGAGGGGAGTCCATGAGAGCTTATCATTGGCTGAGTCTGGCCACCGCGAGGCTGCGGCAGAGTCTCTGCTGACTGATCATGCTTGGAGCCACCAGGCTGTCTTGGCTTTCGCGATGACCTGCGGAGTATCGGGGCCAAAGGCTTGGCTCCAGAACCAAGATTGGGGAAGTCGCCCATGTTGATCTGTGCATATGACTCTAAACGAGGTTTCAGTCAGCCTGAGTGTGGCGCTAGGAAGGTAGGAAGAGGTGATGAACTATTAGCGCCTCGATAGTTAAGAATGGGACTCCACACTGAATGGAGGCTGGGTACCTGCAGGAAGGTACATACCTTGCTGACACGCTGGAGCTTCCCACTTCAATTGCGCTCAGAACCAAAGCCGTGATCTGTCGTGAACAAAGTCTCCAGTGCAACCAAAGCCAATTCCACTAAAGGGCTGAAGATCACATCACGCAAAAAAAGGAAGAGATTGACTGGAGCTCTTTAAGATACAAGAGAAACAGAAGAGAACGGAAAACTACCTAGCCGATGGACTCTTCGCTGCCTGAGGTTTGGCAAACTGCCGGTGCTAGCAGTGCTTTCCTCCCTGCTATCGCCAAACAGTCGCAGTTCACACTTGCCTTTGCTCTGCTTCTGATCGGTCTCTTGCTCGCTGGCTTTTTTGCTCTTAGTAAGTCTCTGAGAATCACAGAAATTATCATGTTGATTGCTAACCATAGGTTGATAGACCGTTCGTTCGTGAGCATTCCCCTGCTGGGTGTGCCTGCCTCTATCACCATTGCGTGCGTTCCTTCTTCTTCTTGTTCTTCTTCTCCTCCTTCCCTTTCCGACTCTCTAGCCATTAAGCAGGTTGATCTAATAAACTACAGGCTCGGCACGGTTTACATGTTCTGCGCAGTCGGAGTCTACGTTTGAGATACCCTATAAGCAACCTGACATTTCGTTTTCCGGAACGGTTGGCATCGTCTGCCTTGTACATTAGATACCTACTACGAGACTACGAGAAGACCATCCTACGCCCTTTATATTTCCCTATCCGGTGATTTCTGCTTCCGACACTACCTTCTCTTTTTTTTTTTTTTCTTTTTTTCTTTTTTCCGTCGCTTCCCGGCATTATGGCCGATGCCTCGGCGACCCGTGGCCCAATGGCTCAACCTCTCTTTCGCGCCGTGGCTACCTCGACACGCCCGCTCTACCAATTACTAAGATGCGTCAATTTTACCAACAAGATCCACGTTCTGATAACCGAAGAGGGCATCAGGTTTTCGGCCGATCTATCTCGGGTCATGCAAGGTATGTGGTGATGTGGTTGTGGTGGCCCGCACCCCCCAATCTGTTGCTCGTTCCTCACGCTGATGCAAACGGCGGGGGGGGAAATAGGTACTGCATCCCTCGATAAGAAGCTCTTCGCATCCTATCACCTAAATCTCGGCGAATCAGACGACGAAAGCTCACAGCCGGACCTCCCCAGCTTTCAAATCAATCTACCGGCTCTTCTGGAGACACTGCAAATTTTTGGCGCTGTGGATGTGGCTACCCGGGCGCAAAAGGCGGAGCAGGACCCATACCGCAGCAACCTCCGCAACTACCGCCCGGATGCGTTTAGTAACCAGGCCCTGGGCATCGGCGGGACCTGCTGCCTGCAGCTAGCGGAGGAGGGCGCCCCGCTGAGCATCATCATCGAGGAGTCGGGGGTCAAGACGGTAGCGAACCTGACGACCTACGTGCCCGAAATCCCCGAGGACATTCCCTTCGACCGCGACGAGCTCGCCTACAAGATCATCATGCAGTCGCGCTACCTGCTCGACGGGCTGGCGGAGCTTTCCCCGAACGGGCCCAAGCGACTCACCATCACCACGTCGAGGGGCCCGCCTTACCTCACGCTGGCCGGAAACGGCGACCTCGGCACCACGGTGGTGGACTTTGCCAAGGGCCGGGAGCTTCTCGAGACTCTTTCGGTGCAGGAGCGCTGGGTCCAGACCTACAAGTTTGACTTGATCAAGTCGTCGACCGAGGCGATGCGCATCGCTAGCAAAATCAGCCTCCGCGGTGATCGGCAGGGCGTGCTGAGTTTGCAGTTCATGGTGGAGGTGGAAGGCGGCGGGGTCAGTTTCTTGGACTTTCGCTTCGTGCCCTTTATATCGCACGAAGACGATGAAGATGGGCAGGAAGGGGGGGAGGGCGAGGGCGAGGAGGGTGGGGAGGGCGATGAGCCTGATCGCGGGGATGAGGAACTGTAATGGACCGCATTGCGTTGGAATCCACTTCATGTCTCACCTTTTCTTGCGCTTGGCCGTACAAGAGGAATTTCTTTGTCTTGCTCGGACATGTACTCCGGTTACGACGTCATTCAGCAATGCCGATGCAATACTGTTACGTACAGAGTAAAAGGTGAAAGGTGAAAGGTGAAAGGTGAAAGGTGAAAGGTGAAAGGTGAAAGGTGAAAGGTGAAAGGTGAAAGGTGAAAGGTGAAAGGTGAAAG